AAAATATTTAATATATAATTTTTAAATAGTTTAATATATATAAATATTTTAAACGTTATATAAAAAAAATAAATTATTATAATATTAAAAAAGTTTTATTTTTTAAATATAATATTTAAATAATAATTTGCTTTATTTTACGTAATAATTTTAAAATATAAAACTTTAAATTTATAATTAAAATTTAATAACTATATTAAAAATATTTTATTTTATTAAAAAAAGTTTTATTTTAATCGGATTAAAATGAAATGGTTAATATAAAAAAAATAAAAAATATAAAATTAAAGGTTATAATATGCGTAAATAATATATATATTAATACTTTTATTATTAATTGTATTTTAAAAAAAGAGATTTATTACAATATTTATACCATATATAACGGCAACATATTACTTAAAAAAAATAAAGATTTACGCAATTTTAATTAAACTTTATTTTTTAAAACTTTCTAATAAATATATTAATAAAATTATAAATTTAATAATTATTTTTTTTAAATATAAAAAGATAATATTTAAATTTAATTAATTTGTAAATTTAAATTTAATTATTGGTATTTATTTTTAAATAATATTTTATTAATATAAGTTTTATATAAAATATAATAATTAATTATTTTAGTTTAATAATATAACATTTAATTAATTTGTTTTTAAAAATGGTAATTATATTTAATATAAAAAAGTATATAAATTTGTTTATTTAAACTATATATTCTTTTTTATTATATATAATAAAAAATATATATTTATAATAATAATATTTTTACGTTACACCGTTATTTGCGATAATTTTTTAAATTTAAAAGTTTTTCAAATATTTAAAATAAAACCTACCATTGTTAAAATTATAACTATTAAATTAATAAAGTTATATTTAATATTAATAAATAATATTAAAATTATTTACGTTAAATAAAATATAACATATTTATAAAAAACAAGTTTAATTTTTTTTAAATTTAAATTATATCATTTTAAAAATTAAAAAATATTTAATTTTATATATTAACATTTTTATACAATATATTAACTTTACTATTATATACTTATAATATAAAGTAAAAATATTAATAAATACCTTTATATTTAATTATTTTTTAAAATTTAATTTATTTTTTTAATAATTAATATTTTTAAATATATAATTATTAACTTTATTACTTTTATATAAAATTTATATAAATTTTAATATTTATATTATATTTATATAATACGTTAACAACTAATATTAAATTAAATATAATAATTATATTATTATAATAATTAAATTTTAATGTTAAATAATTATAACATATTAACTTTACAATTTAAATTTATTACCGCATAATATTATTACAATTAATTAACTTTAATATTAAAATATTATAACATATTAAATTTAAAATTTAATTTAAAACTATTATATAAAAACCGATTTTTAATAACTTAAAATAAAATTAAAAAATATTAAATATTTATACTTTAAATAAATTAATTTTTTAATAAACAATATATAATAAAAAAATTAAATATAAAATATTTATATATTTAAATAAAAAGTTTAAAATATTTAAATAAAAAAGATAATACATTTACATAATATTAGTTATTAAAATTAAAGATATATTTAAATATAAAATAATTATTAAAAAAAAAATAATTATTAAAAAAAAATAATTATTAATAATAAAATAATTATTAAAACTAAAATAATTATTAAAAATAAAAATATTATAAATAATATAATAATTATTTATATAAAAATAGTTAATTGTAAAATAATAATTATACATAAAAAAATAATAATTTTTAAAAAAATGGCTTTTCCATAAAAAATAATAATTTTTAAAAAAATGATTTTTTTATAAAAAATAATAATCTTCGAAAAAATGGTTTTCCGATAAAGAATAATTACGTATACTACTATAATATTACCTATTTTAACGTTTGTTATGGCTAATACAATAATTTATATAAGGAATTATTTTGAACAACCACCCATTGCTGCTATGGTAGCCAATTACTATGTCTAAATCAACCTCCTTCCATCCTCCTCCATCCGCCACATTAGTAGTAGATCGACTATCACAAACGAGAACAGACATAATTCAGATCGTGAAGGTTGCAACTTGCGAATGCCTGAAAAATAATCCTAAAGCCGCTATCATATCTTTCGGCACATCTCTAATTAAAATCAACCCGGCCCGAAATATTCTCCAACACAATCTTAGAAGCGGTACGGTATAATCTGGGCAACACCTCAACACATAAATTCAGGTATCAACCTAATAAACTCTACGCTCCTATGATATCCAGGCGGATTTCGCTGGTACGACATATTTCCAAATCCCTCATTGTCTAGGGAGTGCTCTAATACCGGCCGTTCAATTAACAGCCGCATTCTGCCGCTTGTCTCTAGCGGCCATAACCTACGGGATAGAGGACTAGATATTTACGATATGCTACCTACTTAACCCTTACCATTTAATTTACATACGCCGTAAGGGTCTAACTAATATACCACAGGAGATGCAAATAGATCTAATCCTGTCCAACCTCGCAGATTGGGACTAAAGCTAGAAGAGTTGTGTTACAATCAGATGAGATCAACTCCCCACCCTTGCGCTATCTAGGTAACTCATGGCTGCAAAACACGTCTTCTGACAATAAAATATTAATTTAGGTATCTTTGAAATGCGAACTTCCAATTCTAGTCGTACCCCTAATTTGAACGAGGGTCGCCATTTGAAATTTTAGAGGATACTCCGGGAACACGCATTCAACAATCGGCAGTTAAAGAAAAGCTACGCCACTTTCCATCATATTCTGCAGTTAATCTGTGATATTGTTACACGACATTTTGCTTGTTTTCCTTTCAGACGACTAACTGGCCTGGCCTGTCCGCAGCGTCATCAAGTCTCGTGGCCTATCGGTTTACTTGTGGCTTATGCCAATACTACCACCCGAATGTTCCACAATACGTCTTTTCCGAAGACTAGCATTGGCAAGAGGAGAAAATGCTTCTATCACCATGCTTTATTAAGCGCCTCCACTCCCGGCACGCTCAAAATTGTGATGGTCGATCTATGTTGGAATCAGTAGTCATGCAACCTCATTCGGCAACCTGATCGGGCCTCAAAGCAGCATTGCACATGCGCTTGATAGAGTATCTTTAGTTCATATACATTTCAGCTATACCTGTAGTTCCCCTATTCGTGCCCAAACTCGGATCGAGAAAATCCCGTAGATAAACATCTATTTCGCTCAATGCAGCAGTTGTTCGTCGAGATCGGGTCCACGGATGCCCAGTAAAATTACGGCACAAGCTGGAAAGCTTGACTATGCGTTGGGCAATGTTACAATCGCGGTAGACCGGGGCGGCAAACCCTCCATCACGGATGCTCCGGCTTTCCTAAATAGGAAGCGAGAATGAGCAATATACGCAACACCTATGGAGCAAAAACTAACTCCAACAGCCGCATCCTACTACAATACCTTCACAACTTGGAGAGTGTTTACCCCCGGAAGGAATTGAGCGCCCTATCGGGGAGCCTATCGGGGGTTGAATCAAATGAATATTTAGCAATCCGTAAGAAATTCTGGTTCGTTGAGTATAGTAGTATTGACCACCCTCAAACTAGATCAAACAAAATATTCAAGAATGCCAAGTAGCAATTATTACTTTTCAGGTCCCATGAGGTTTAATTCTATATTTAGAGACGTACAATATCACGTATCTAGGTCCGGGTGACTATCGGACCACTGGAACCTGACATCATAGAAAGACAATCATGATATGAGGCTTTTATGGAACCTATATTTTCATGGTGGTTTACATGTGAATGTTACGAGGTAAAGCAAGAAGCATGGAAGCAACTTCGATATCCCGCAATGGACTTCGAACCTAACCAGGGAAGCTTTAGCTAAACATTAGGTATTGAAAATATTCTTTGTTCTGGGTGTCTCATCCAGAATCCTGACAGTGATAACGAACAGGGATGATTCAATGCGGCTCTTATGGTAATACAAACTAATAGTGACGACAGCTGCTTGTCGACCATAACATCGTATATAGTTGCGACGAAAAATGGGTGGCGGAAGGAGTTTAATAGGACACGCTTCCGGTCACAGTGGAAGCTAAAGAATCTGAGCTGGATCATGACTGATTCTAATCTCCAATTAACCCTCGGGCTTGAATGACTTCCCCCGCTACCCAAGCTACGATTATAACGCAATGACGTGAATTGCATCAAGGCGTGAAGGTTCTATTTTTATATTGTCTCTTTTCAAGGTAGAATAGTAGGTTCCGCAGAACACCTCCACCGCTTACTTCCCTATTAGTGTCAGTGATTCTCACCAGTGTGAATTGCTAAATAAGCAACGCACATTATGGAAGTTACCCAACATCTTAAAAGATAAGTGAACAAGGATGCATTACTAGATACTTGGAGTATTCATATGATAATGGCCATTGTCATAAAAACCTTTGTTTTAGCGATAAAATTTATGGCATATGAGCTGCCTGTGCGGCCTGATAACCAAGCAAGCCCCCCTATGAGCTAAGGGAGAAGCCCTTTTTATATTCTTAGGTATTGTATTATCAAAGAGCTATTAAGTACTTTAATATTAAAAAGTAAGATATCCTTGCCCCTTTTCTGACATGAGCTGCTGGTACGTATATCAATCATTTCCGTGTATACATAACCCTACATATAGGTTGGTAAAATAACAACAAGGGTCCTTATTAAATTAAAGCTTCGACTAATTGTATGTGCCTAGCTACCCAGGTACCTAAGGCAGTTTGTACCTAATGCTATCTAAGTGGTGATGGTTACCTCCTATACTTAGGTACGCTTACATCTTAGTATTTGATACCCCTCCTACGCCCTACTCCTATATGTATAAGTAAGTCCTTTCTTCATATAATATTTGTACTGCGAAACGTTCCATACATCCCCTTCATTGTTGAGGTTTTCCGTGACATAGTAGTAGGCGTAGAGTATGCTAGGTATTTTACACACGGTCTGAGCGCTCAATCAATCTTTCGATACGATCAATATACGAGTGTAGCCAACGTAGATCTCTCATCTTCCTTCCTAGCTCTATCGAATTGTTTATACTCCTACTGCTTTCCAAATATTCGAACACTCTGCTCGGGTCCTGTCCATTTCCTATGTCCCGGGATACTCTGGGAGAGTTCTCTTCGAGAAGAGCGGTCGAATATCCAGGTTCTGAAAAAAAGACGGGATGGAGTAATCTCCAACAGGAAGCGTGTTGGGGATCTGAGAAGGTATGGTATTGGGCTTCATGGGATAATCGATGAATGGCCTTAGCACCCAGTTCATTCTATTGGCTAGATGACGGATTAATCTAACTAGAATCACAATTTGTGCAGTTGAAGGTAGCGACCAGTCATAAGTATCGTTAGGACCGAATGTTGTGGCTGGAAATGGTAAGCTTTGGTGAGTCCAACTATTTGGTTGTCTATGCCCATCACTTTGTGGTGTATTCTTGAGATGTTCCGTGTTAGACCGTGTGACATTGGTATGGATATCCGTCGACAGTAAGTGACGATAGATTGAAGAGCATGTAGTTTCAAAGATACTCGTCAACCTGTGGTGGAAGGCGAGCATCATTAGTAGCACACCACTGTCTGGTTGTAAGCTTGTGTCGATCGAGGATTTGTTGCTTCTACAATTTATTGGGCTTGAGGGATCTAGCTCGCTCAGTAGCGAGTAACTAGAATGAGAAGTAAACATGTAATTAAACAAGGATCGATCGAGCTGATATTCCGAAACTTGACGATAAATTGCTATGAAGTTTCCCGTAGCCTCAAATATACCGTTGAAACTTGGTGAAGATATCGAAAGCTGCGTCGTTGCTAGGTCCCGCTCGACTTCTCTTGAAGACTGTAAGACTGGTAGATTGAGTTGGGCTAGATCTTGAATCTGTGCGTCAATGGAATTTGAACTTGTGGACTTGTTCTCCTTAACTTCGTTGTGGGTTGCTGGAAGGGTTGAAGGTGAGGAGACTGGTTCGAAAGAACCAATTAAATGTACATCTAAGCCCAAAGCTAGATCTGGGGGTCGAAAAGTTGACAGGCCTATATTGTCTATATTGTCGAATTGAAAGTGTGAGAATGGGTCTCCCGTATCAATCGTAATCCTAGGTTCACTATAAGAGTCGGTCTCGCTCAGTGTGAAAGGAGTCTGCTCCATATTTGTGGAACCCAAGCATCCGTTAATTCTTCTAACTGCTAAGCTTTCGGCGCTTTGAAAGGTATCTGTATAGTTCTCGGCGGATGTGATACCGGTGTCTGCCGAGTCTTGTAAAACGGCACGCGACATTCTTTTTAGGGCTAACTGTGCCGCTGATGGACGACCCGGTCTCTGTGGAGCTATAATTACACATAAATTAGACACCATTTATGCGCAGACCATAATAATTTCTTCAAAGCAATGGTAATGAGCAACCATTCCTTAAACCTACCACTATAGATACAAACAGTCCCTAATTTTTGGCAGCGAATGCACGTAGGAGGCCTGCTCTGAGAAACATTCGGTTGCCGCAGACATCTGACCTCCTTTTCATGACATCGATCGCAAGACTGTCGGAGTGATGGGTAAGCCCCTGAATGGGGGTTGGAAGTAAACTGACATATTATAGACATGTGGAAACTATAGAAATTAGTTGTTTAGTATTGATATTCCCTGTTTCGGATGGAAGTTATTCGGCGAAATATTTATTGTAAAATGAAAACTGAAACTTAAGTAGTAATTATACGAATAAGGATACCGGGAAGGGACGGATCTTACATCGATCGATGATGGACTAAGCACCCTCATATGTGTTGCACAAGGGGTAAATCTTATAAACGCTTACCAACAATCCCTCGCGGTGTAGGTCCTGGAGTCTAAAGTGGTATAATTGGTGCTGACGCTTCAAACCTTTAACAACAATATTACCAACATCGATTTGTACGCTGCCTTTGAACATAGTATTCAGCTCGCTATCAAAGGAACAATTATGTAACTCATATTGTAGTTATGGTTATGATTCCCCGTAACCAGTAACTCTTAACCTTCGCTTTAGGTTGGAGGCTGAGAAGACTAATCAATCATTCGAAGACTACGTTTCCCGGAAGATGTCAGAAGTGGAGCCTCCGGCGTTGTCCCGGTCGGCACCGGAGTACCCCGACACCGGAAACCTACCACCGGAATTCTGATTACTTACATTTAATAAATGTCACTTATGCTTATAATAAAATCTCACATCTCAGAACAGAGCTTTAAATAATGCCATTATATTTCAATTAATCTTAACGGTATTAAAATTTAAAGATATCATTTAACTATTAGATGAATGGCGTAAAAAGTAGTGCGAGAAGAAAATTTAAAAGAGATAAAAAAAAAGATGGAAAGAACTGACCATATTTGCAAAAGTGCAAAAATAGAAAGAAGACAAGTACCGCAGATGGATAGCAAAAAGTAAATATTCAAGTCGCTTTACCGGGCATCTTACACGATAAGAACCGGAACTAAAGGGTTTGGCCGGGGATTGAACCCGGGACCTCTCGCATGCACTGTTCAGGGTGGACCCTAAGCGAGAATCATACCACTAGACCACCAAACCAGAGACGTCTATAGGACTTCTTGAGTGAAGGTCTAGGCCTTCAAGTCCATCTATATTTCTGGCGACGAACCTTATCAGTTTGAATCAAGCCTGTGGCTGTAGGATATCTCGCGCTTGGATTACCTATATCTACACATACCTAGGATATAAGCAATCTTAAGGGTGTACACAGGCATTAGAAAGCACATTGTAAGGTTGTAGGTCACTTTGGCATGGTTATTGTTATTTGGTTGAGTAAAGAGATCAGAGGTATTTGATTTAAGAATATACTCAGTTTAGTGACGCCCGTACGCCATTACATTATGTGACATTAACGGAAACTGAGCTTTTGAACACGAGTCAGGATGTAATACTACCAAGAGGAATCGTATTCGATATATCAAAGTGGAAGCTTGGTATACTATATTACGGCAAGGACTGGATAACATCTTCAAATTAAACATTATGTTCGGTCTGATCAATTACTCTCTTGTAAAACTACTCCCGTTCATACTCATAAACACTCTCTAACGCTAGAGAAATATAACAAAAATCAGTCGGCTATCAATTTTTTTTCTTTACGTACCTACAGTAGTACTCAGTACTCTTCGGACTACCCGATTTTTCTAGCCCTATCCAATGGGTAAGATGGTGGGCTTCCATAGCTCCACCGCACAACCACTAGAGATTTCCTAGCGTCTAAAGTCTCCTCTACAATTTTGCCATTGGCTATGGTGATCTTCTAAGACCCGAATGTGTACATGACTAACCTGGGCCCTTAATTCCTAAAATGTAAAGCTGTTTTTATAACTAGTTAAACCAAATACTTTTCATCAATTCGTCTACTCCGGTGGATCAATGCCTACTTTTAGGCAAAATAGGCAAGATGGCCGAGTTGGTTATGGCGTGAGGTTAAGGTCACCTTAATTCCTACATCCTCATGGAGCAATCCGCGTGGGTTCAAGTCCCACTCTTGTCACATATTTCTTTTTTGTTCTGTGCAGCACAAATCCATTCTTTGCCGGAGGGAAGAAACGACATATATTTTGCGAATTTGTAACGGATGGGGATAGATAGTTGATTGATACAAGCTCATGATTGAGTACCTTATATATAGAGTATATGGTAACCGCCATGACAGGAAAGGGGTAAGGGGTAGTGATTTATCTCGGAACATATGGGCTGGTTCCCGTAGCTTTACCTAATCTTTAATTAAAGGTTAAAGTCATTAGGTTAATGGCAATGACAAGACTGACTGTATGATAATTTTAAATGGGAGCTGGAAAATGTAGTTTATTTAAATATACTGACTGAACAGGTGTGAAATGCACAGGTTAACTAGGTAGTCTATATCGTTTTACTTCCCACTAGAATAAGCATGTACTCTGTTCTATAGTCCAGAATCCTAAATCTAAGGAATCCGGGTCTGAAAGAACGAGCGTAGGAGGTCGGTACTTATGTCTAACAGCCCCTCGCAGGGCGTTATCCACAGACCTTACCTCTTATGTTTTGGTCTCGCGTCTTGTTGTGGTCTTCATGCTATGGTGGGGTCTCTTGTGAGAGACACCAAGCAAGAAGACGTATCGTATCTGAACGCTGAAATGGAATTTCACAATTGCATGTTGCTGGATATGACATTTCACCTTGTAGTTAGTTGACTACCGTCGAGTCGGAACAGACCAGACCATAAATGTCGGGACTATATACAATCCGTCTAATTTGTAAGAGATGGGTATATGCACAGATATTGTACAGGCAATTGTTACATCTATCGTCTATCGTCTGTCGTTGTCTTCACTCGTTACTCAGTACTGTCCACGTTAATCTCGTTCACCTTCCAGGTGTCATCCACCCAATCTTGTTTCTTTCCAAGGAAAGCGACCCTTTCCTTCCCATTTGCTAGAGCGTCAACGATGTACTTCTGAGCAGCCTCGCGGACTTGGTCCTTTGAAACGTCCAAAAGTTGTTCACGCCTCTTCTGCTGCATTTCATCTGTGACACCAGACATGAATCGGAGCATACCCTCCGCACTCACTGACCTGGGTGCATCGACACTCTGGAAAACCGATATCTTGGCCTCTTCAAGGTCTCGGTCGGACCATTCCTTATCGACCGCCCATCGGCCAGCATTTTTCATAATGGAAAGAGTATTCTGCGGGTTTGGATCTCGGTATGAGTAGAACCCGAATATTCCTTCAAGTCCCTTCATGTAAGCACCGCCTCCATATGCGCCACCCTTTTCACGAATTTCGTGATGAAGGTGTTTATGAGTGAGAAGTTGAGCTAGGATTTGAAGTGGTGCGCCTTGTGGTGATGTATAGGAGGTAGTTGGGAGTGCGAGAGAACCATAGTAGACTTGGTAAGGAAGTGGGAAGAATGCTTTGATATCTCTCGCAAATGACTGCTTTCCAGCAGCGGGAAATTGGACAGGATCAGTTGATCGAGATGCCAGGAATTGGGATAAGGCGGTAGAGTTGGCTTGAACACTATCAGAGCCACATGTTAACGCTGTGCGAATGTCGGTACCCGCTAATGCGTATTTCTGTATCTGTTTAAGTTTTTCGATTATGTCTTCGAATTGATCAGACTCCGGTCGTCCAGCCAGCGACGTTATGAGTTTAACCTGTGATAAGCCGCTTACTTGCTCGGCCAAGTAGCCTTCGCGTGTTAAACCCGACTCGGCGTACCTTCGAGCATAGGAATGCCCGGAGGAGGCAATGTCGTTCACAACACCATCAGCTGCGGCTTCGAGTAGTTGCCTTATCCGAAGGGCTGCCTCTGGACTGTCAAAATTGGTCTCCGAGATGAGCTTACGGAGTAGGTTAAACATTTCGGGTACGTTACGATCAAGAGCCGTGCCCCGTAATAGAAGGCCCTCGGAAGCCTGGCGGAAATCGGTTGGTGATGCGGTCGACAAATAGCTAACAGATATACCGCCCGTCTTAAGCTTGATTTGATCCTCGAGCTGCTCCATGGTCATGTCCTTCGTTCCCAGCCGCATGATAGAGTCTGTAAACAATGGAATGAGGGATCGGAGCTCATCTGGTAAATTTTCGAATGTATTGATAGCTCGGAAGTAAGTGAGTCCATTTGTAGGAGCTTCGTGCCACTGAATAGTAGTGCCGTGTGCCGCTTCATCCCTTACTATTACAGGCTCCTTCTGTCTTGGGATATCTTTAACGTGAACGGTCGGTAGGCAACTTAAATCTTCGGTGTTTGACTTGTTTTGTTCAACAAGTAGATCCAGTTCTCTCTGCTCGAAGAATTTTCGAGCTTCTTGTTCCCCACCGGCTTGTTGAGTAGCTTCGGAAATCTTAGCCAGCAGCCTGTCCTCTTCCTCCTTCGCAATCTCCGCGCCGTACGTTTCCGAAGGGGCCATTGTGAAGGTAAGAGTATTGTCGTTGAGGAGATATTTATCCATTAGCCCTTCTAGATAGCCTCCTTCAGTAAGCTTCGCTTCAAATGCCGCAACTGTATCGTTCCATGCTAAGGAATCGAAGGGATCGGTTCCAGAAAACCACTTCCCCTTCAGACGATGTAACACCGAAAGTCCAAAATTGGCGGTCTTATGTTTAAGACTCAATTCGAGCTGATGGAGATATCCTTCTATCTTCGTTCTCTCAAAGCCTTTGTCACGAACTTCGCGTAGTATATTTTGAATCTCGCCCTTAATCTTCTCGACATTAGGTTGCTCGACTCCGCTTAAACCGATAGAGAAGATTCCCGTAGCTGCTGATCCGTCATAGCCGGAATTTGGACTCCAATCCGTACCCAGCCCGCTCTCGATGAGCCCCCTGTAGAGCGGAGATCCATATCCATCCATTAACAGGGACGAGAGTAGAGATACAGAAAAAGACTCCAACACGTCGCTGGTACTACCAGTGACCCACGACACTGACGTCTTATACTGTTTTTCCGGATCGGCAAGAGGATCTACCGGCCCGAATACCGTCACGGTACGCGGCCCATCACTAAGGTCGATTGGCTTTTTATGTTCTATATCTGCCTGTATCTTCTCAAATGCCTTCATTTGGGCGTCAATTTCCTTGAGATGGTCGGCCAATGGCATATCGCCGTAAGTTATAAGCTTTGCATTACTGGGATGGTAATGCTCAGCATGGAACTTACGTAGCTGCTCGTACGTCAGATCGGTAATCTTTTGCGGATCGCCTCCAGAGTTGTTGATAGATGGGAAAATGTGGTCTTGAAAGCGAATGTAAAAGAGGTAGCCTGCGTCCGACATTTGACCCTTCATCTCATTGTAGACGACACCTTTGAAGACCAACTTGCTATCCTCGGCATCTTTTTCTCCATCCTTCTCCGCAACTCTGGGGTTTTCTGGTCCAATGCGCCAACCTTCCTGAGTAAAATCCGTCTCCTTTAACAGGGGGTGGAGGGTCGAGTCGAGATAAACCGACATCAGATTCTGAAAATCTTGGGCGTTGGTCGTAGCGAACGGATAGTAGGTGTGATCGGAAGCGGTGAAAGCATTCATAAAATTGGACAGGGTTCGCGGCAGCATCTTAAAGAAGGGATCTCGTATAGGATACTTTTGGCTACCGCATAATGTGGTGTGCTCAAGGATATGAGGAACACCCGTGTCATCCGGGGGGTTCGTCTTGAAGCCGATTGAGAATACATTGTTACTATCTTCGCGAGCGATGTGTAGATAGTCCGCGCCGGTCTTATCGTGTCGTAAATGCAGTGCAGTTAGCTCTAGTTCTGGTACGTGCTTTGTCCTTAACAAAGTGAAGCCATGGAGTTTCTCGCCAGGCTTCGGGTACTGGGACAGGTCTGTTATAGCTTTCCTAGCTGCACCTTTCACCACGTTACGCAACATCTTATTGATGATTAAAGGAACCAGCCGCAATCATATCAAAGAGATGAAATGATAAGGAAAGAAGAGGTAATAGAAGTAACCTGTATAATGAACCGTAATTACAGGGATTTAAACAGCCGGTGTCCAGGGCGGCATATTTTGATGGTTGAAGGAGAGAAGGTTAAAGATACGAGCGGTATGTATTCTAGAAAATTTCCAAGGGCAAATGATACTACGGGTTATGCTAGATGACGCATATGTCGGGCTAACCCCTGCCTAACAGGCTGGATATTGGAATACCGAGGTATGGTTCACGTTGACAACCACTTAATCGCATTAGCTAAAAAGCAATTGGACGGATCGTAACGCAATAGTGTTTAAGCGTATATAAAGTGCAATTAAGTAAACTTTAACCCCACATAAAACCGCTGCTCCGGATCTGCTAGTGTCAAATTCAATTTTTCTAGGCCATTTTTATTCGTATATTGTGTAGTGCTTGGGATATTGCAGTGTGTGGTAGTTGTAACTTGGCACCTAAGAGATTACCTAAGTCCGATTTGGTCGCATGTGCAGTTGCAAGGCGGCAACCCGGAGTTCTCTCGTACTTGCTTGTTGATTAAGTAACCAACACTAAAACGCCGCGCTTCATCTCAAACCCTCAAAAGTCTGCATTCATTGTAGAACTACGCTTCCAACATCCACATAGCCCGGTTAACCAAAGCTAAAGAGCTGACACCTGTTTCTCTTATCGGCCCAATAATATCCTTTCAGCTATATAAGTTCATTGCCTTAAAAACCATCCCAATGTCTTCTAGCAATCCAGTACGGTAAGTTCACACTGAATCATCATTACCTTCTGCTATGTCATAAGTCTCTTCGGAATACTAACACCGCACTCTCTCGTAGAATAGTTGTATACATTTAGGAAAATATGGCGACAACGAACCATCGTGCCGCATCCGCCACGCCAGCCCCTCTTGCATCCGTACTTAATACGAATGGAATCGCTCATTCTCATACACCACATGACGACTCATTACCAAATAGCCACCATGTTCATGTTCAAGAGCCCCGACCTGCCCCAACCCCGACGCCCGCCATGGCTTCAAATGCCGCGAAAAAGGGAAAGGGGAAAAAGACCCTCGACTCGAATGAGGCATCGAAACTTGTTGCCGCAAGAATTTCCCAGTTGGAGGTTGATACAGCCGCAGAGAAGGAGCAAGAGGCGGAAATTGGTAGGTTCTTTTTCATTTCAGACGCTATGATGACTACAGAAGGGCTGGAACGTGGCGAGACCTTTGAATTCGAACTGCGAGACTACACAACTGCCGCGAAATGTTCACCAATTCGAGATAGCGTGACCGGGGCTAGAGGGATAAAGGTGAAGCATCAAACACGATAGCGCGCTCTAGCAATGCCGGACGAATCGGAAGAGACATACCGGTGCTTTGCGATGTTATAGGTCTACAGGAAACCATCTTCCATCAGAGTAGCATATGCCATAAACCCAACAGTCAAGCCGCCGCGCGTTTCGAGGTGATATCTATGGTTTTCGATATGCAGTCCGACTCGGTTGTACGAATGCTGCTACACAACGCTAGACTAGCATGCGCTGGGAAATTCTCTGTTCGCTGGATCTGATTTCGCCAGCTTTATTTATGATGTCAGAACCTTGCTAATATTGCTTTATAATAGATCGGGAAGTACGTAGGGCGAATCGCGAGCTTAGCAACCAAATGAACAAGATGGACGATATGGACAAAATAGAACTCTTAACAAAGCGATCATCAGAACTCTTTGCGAACTTAAAACGCCTCGAGCGCGAGAACATTAGGAATAAAAAACGCGCCGATCTATTACAAAAGGAAAAAGATGCCAGCCGTACGGACCTGAGCAAGCAAATTAGCTTGAAGGAGAAGTTAGAAAAGCTGTGTCGCGAACTGCAAAAAGAAAATAACAAGCTTAAGGTACATTGAGTCCTACTGGAAATTTTGCGGAATTCGCGCTGACGGGAATGGCTGGTAGAATGAGCACCGTGCTCTGAATGATACCCACGATCGCCTCAAAGCCTCGTCTGACGAGCGCTTAAAGAAAGTACTTGACACTTTGGAAGGTTATCAAGAAGAGAAAGACAACCCGCGGAAGCAGGTTGTGTATATGAAAGCCGAAGAATTGTGCGCCATTCCTCCACCCCTAACGTCCATCTACACGGGCACGCTTTGTATTAACACTGAAGGTGTAGGTTCAAGGGAAGATTCAAATCTCTCATCGATCAATACGAATTACGGGAACTACACTATCATTCTTCAATGCGAACTAAGGAGATCGAGGTCCAATGGAACATGGCTCGTTACGAGCAACAGAAGAAAACGGCGGAAGCAGAAGCCAACCGTGCGCGACAGCTGAATAGCCAAGTGCTTACGTTCTCCAAGACCGAAACTGAGTTAAGAAACCAGTTGAACGTTTACGTTGAGAAGTTTAAGCAGGTATGCGCCCTGTGCCCCTCACTAGCCCGCCGTGCGAAGGCATTAACAAATGAGGAGGTCGAGGACACGCTCAATAATAGTAACGACCTGTTCTTAACTTTTCGCAAGGAGATGGAGGATATGTCCAAAAAGACGAAGAAGCTAGAGAAGGAGAACGAGGCCTACAAAAGGAAAGAGGGCGCCCTAAATCAGAACATCTTTAAGATGGCCGAGGAGCGTAATAGGCACCTGAAGGACCTCGAGGATATCAGGAAGAAGAACGATAAACTGACGAGCATCATCAACCAGATGCAACAGCAAGGCCGCGGTATACCTCAGGGCATGCAAGGTACGGTAGAAAGCTGTTATGCCGAAGGGGTAGAAGGCGACGAAGAAGGAGAGCTGGACGAGGGCGATGATGAAAGCGAATACGAATACGAGGACGGCGACGAGGAGGTTAGTGATGAGGGAGAGTTCGACGACGACACAGAGGAGGAACTTCCGCACGCACCCGGTGCTTACGGCCCCGAGCGCCCGCCCGCTATGAATGGTCATCGCTAGGAGGACGACACAGTAGGGCGGCATGCAGTGGAATTGCCTCAACCTGTCCACGATCTGTGCCGCTGGTTTTCTGACTTGCGGACCCAATTCTTTCAGAGCGAGAAACCTCCCGCCGAGTAAGCATCAGAGGGGCCTCCTACGATTCCACGATTCCGCAATGTCTCTTCCGCGGAACACTCGAGCACTCGAAATCAACTAGACTTCGTAGGCTAGACTTCGTAGGACCGTTCGCTTTTGGAGGACTACTGCTGGGCTTCCCCCTTTTTCGCAGAACAGACGCCCGAGTCGTCAAGGTATTGGTCTATGTAGGCAGCAAGAGCAGCTGAGGCTTGGTTGTCATCGGAGCGAGTATCCTTCCTTGCTAGCGATAACATTGTAGCAATAAATGCGAATTGATACTTCCCTCGGAAAGCGTACAAATAGGTACATAGTTCACAAGTGTGTAAAGTTGCCAATTATTGCATTATTCAGGCCAGTTTTTATTTTATTTCCCGTAAGTCAATTTATTCAACCTAGTTGCCATTGCCGTGGATTTCCGTGGGTATCTCTATGAACATGTCCCTCTACCTAGACGCCGACGCCGACGCCGATGCCGATGCTAATCCGGACGCTTGCGGCTGGCCGTATCTACCACGGATCTTAGCCGGCCCTAACTCACGCCTGATCTCGTCGAGTTCAGCAGTGCCGCTCTTCCACTTGCCCTTCTTTATCTGCTTCTTTCCACGCATCGAGTAGCCTCCCAGGAAATCATCTAGGATGTTATCAAAATCACCCCGCACAGATCCCGTCACGCTAGACGCCGTCGAGATCTGAGACATGGAGGCCCCGCCATCTTCGTCATCTTCATCGAAATCATCCTCATTGTACTGCTCCTCGATCTTGTCGAAGCGAGCGTCGAGGATACCAAGTTGTTCAGTGCGGAATAGCGACGACGATGTCATCGAGTAGCCCGACTGACTTGTAAGCGCGCCCTTGCGCTTCTTCCGTCGGCCGCCGTTGGTGGTGGTTGTCATGAGGGAGGATTGCACCTCTGACTGTGATGGTGCGACTGCGAAGGATACCTTTGCGCCGGGCTTGCCTTGGTCCTTTTTGAACTTCTTGAAGTCCTCTAGCCAGTCCTCATTCTTAACCGCCTCTCCGTCCTGATCATTTACAGTGGGAACTAGATTGGGCACTTCGGAGCGGTCTTTATACTCCTTAGTCGGCTTGGCGGTGTCGTCCGATTCCCAACCATCGTCTTCGTCAAAGTGTGCATCAAATTCGACGTCTTCCAGTTCCTGGCCATCCTTTGCTAGCTGTGCGAAAATATCTTCGTCGTCATCAACGTACGCCTCGTCCTCAAGCGCCTCTAGTACCTCGCGCAGTCGGGGGTCCATGTCCGGCTGGAACCCACCGATGGCATCGGGGATATCTTGTTGCGCCTGGTATGTTATATGCTGCAGATTCTTAGATGGCAAGAAATCATCACCGAAAAGATCATCGCGCTTGCGCTCCTCATCCGCGACGTCCAGTTTTCTCAGCGCATCCTCCAAGCTCTGCTTCTGTTTTCCCTTGCCCTTGTTTTTAGGTCCATTGTCTGCTTCGATGAAGACAACCTCCCCACCGCCGGCAGAATCTAGGTCGCGTAGATGTTGCATATAGTCATACTCGGTATCGTCGAAGAAAACGCCATGGCTGGCGGCCTCACCCTCGTTGGCACGGATGTGTTCGGCGTCAGATCCCAGCTCAGATGCAAGGTCATCGAGCTTCCTCACCTTGGAAGCATTAGGAAGAGGTGTAGGGTTCAGCACCATAGACGGCGCATCAGCGTCGTGGATCAGCGGGTCATTCTGTGGACGATGAACCAGTGTGAAGTGCTGGGCCGTCTTCTTATCGCTGGTTAAGATATTAGCAGTTCATCGCTAACCGAATGATCGCTTTATCAATTTACGTACATCCACTTGCCTTTGGGCATTTTCGCTATCTTTCTCTTTTGTTTCTTGACTCTTTCTGGGTCTTTGTTTATAAGTAATATGCAAGCAAATCTCTCAGTTTTGGTTTAGCACAAGTAGAAGTAGAGGATGAGTGGTTCTAGGTAGGTAGGTACTTTGTAAATGGCAGAATGGATACTTCAGGGTTCGGCCTAGAATTAAAAAAGTTTTGGTGGGGTAAATTATTATCGCGGGGCTTATCGTACTTAGAGTGACGCAGAAAATAATTGCCCCTCGATTATTCAGCGATTAGACTTTACAAAACTGCCTGGAAGCGACAACCTTAACCTCAACTTATGAGGACTGAGTTTCGGGAAAAGGTAAATCTTATATTATTGCATTTTGCATAACTCTACAACATCATATACCAACAAATTGCCCAACATGGTGCATGCAAAGTCCAAGACCTCGGTCGGGTTGGGCAATACGCTCATGAACGATCGTTTTGGGAAGGGTAAAGGATCCGATCGCAAAAAGGGTTCAGCAGTCACGAGAATCAACCACGCAACTGGTGAAGAGGTATGAACACTATTTCTCTATATCAGGACAGTCGCTTACCAATTTACTACCATAGTATATCACAAATGACAGAAAAGAAGCAGCATGGGTGAAGATGCGCTCCGTAACGCAGCAAGGTGCTCTAGACGAGTTCCTTGCGACGGCCGAGCTTGCCGGTACCGACTTCACCGCTGAGAAGATGAACAACGTCAAGATCATACATACAGATCAGAGGAATCCATATCTCTTGTCGGCAACCGAGGAACGAAATGTCATAGGGAAGCACGCTCAACATAGAGGAAGATTAACGGTGCCTAGACGACCAAAGTGGGACTCTTCAACTACCGCCGATGAGCTTGATCATCTCGAAAGAGAAAGTTTCCTCAACTGGAGAAGGGGTTTGGCAGAACTGCAGGAGCATAACGACTTACTCATGACCCCATTTGAGCGTAATCTAGAAGTTTGGAGGCAATTATGGCGTGTCATCGAGAGATCAGACCTGGTCGTTCAGATTGTCGATGCACGAAATCCGCTGATGTTTTGGTCCGAAGATCTTGAATCATACGTGGAAGATATCGACCCAGCCAAGAAAAACCTGTTGCTGGTCAACAAGGCAGACATGATGACGACAAATCAACGGAAAGCATGGGCGAAATATTTCAAAGAGAAGAAGATAGCCTATCGCTTCTTCTCCGCTAGCTTGGCAAAGCAATTAAACGATGAGCGCGATCTAGAGGACGAACCGGAAGAGCCTCTCAACGGCGAAAACTCGAATCCAAAAACTATTCGCAGATCTAACCAGGATGCCGATTCGGAAGATGAGAGTGACGAAGAGGGCGTAGATTCGGGAGTGTCACCCAGTCAAGATGCCGATGATGATACCAGGATATTGACAGTTGAGGAGCTGGAAGACATATTTCTTCGGCATGCACACGATCCCGATGGTATGTACTTCAGTTACTATACTACCTTGATTATAAAGCTTACAGACAAGCAGATCCGGAGAAGAAGCTGCAGATAGGTCTAGTTGGGTATCCGAACGTCGGAAAGTCGTCAACCATCAACGCCCTCATTGGCGCCAAGAAAGTATCCGTCTCCGCAACGCCTGGTAAGACAAAGCACTTTCAAACCATTCACCTAAGCGACAAGGTCATCCTCTGCGATTGTCCTGGTCTTGTGTTTCCCAATTTCGCCACCACAAAAGCCGATCTCGTCTGCAATGGTGTCTTGCCGATTGATCAATTACGAGAATTCACGGGTCCCGCTGCACTCGTCGCACACAGGATCCCACAGCCATTTTTGGAAGCTATCTATGGCATTCACATCAGGACTCGGCCGTCAGAAGAGGGAGGGACGGGAATTCCCACCGCCAGCGAGCTTCTGTCGGCATATGCCAAAGCACGAGGTTTCACAACCCAAGGTGTGGGACAGCCAGACGAATCAAGAGCTGCTAGGACTGTCCTCAAAGACTACGTTAACGGAAAGCTTCTGTACGTTGAGCCTCCTCCCGGTTGGGGTGACGGCATGGATTTCAACCGCGAGTTGTACGACTCAGAACACCTACCCGCAAAGCGCAAGGCAGCTTTAACCGCAGCCATGGGTGCACTAGACGTAGACGACGGTGAGTCGACAATTGATACGGAGATCTTAGCCCTACCAAAAGGCGCCAAGTCGGAGAAGCTTGATAAGGCGTTCTTCGCGCGCGATGCGGGAAGCGCGGGACACTTAAAGATGCCGTTCAGCCATAAATACACGGAACAAGGTAAAGCACAAGAACAAGGTCCGGCTAAGCAGCTTAGCGGACGAAAAGCCAGAGCGATGGTCGCACTAGAAACGGGAATAGACCCGCAGGACGTACAGATCGGCTCGAGTAAGAAGCACTTTAAGGGAGGTCAGAAGGGCAGAGGGAAGAAGTTTGATAACAAAATGTTGAATGAGGCTTAGATATCGATTCGATGGGTAGAGGATGAAAATCATAGATACGGCGGTATGGTGACATATGGTAACTGGAGCTAGCACCGTTAAGACGGGTGTAGCTAGAAATCATTATTGACATCAATGAAGTCAATTGGCCTTATAATTGATTCTCTCTAGTCAATCTGCCTTGTGGAGTCTTCCATATGGTCTGCGTAGGTAGGTATCATCAAGGTTACCTTGGCTAGGGCGGTTATGGCTATACAAGTCATACATAATTACTGTGACTCGTAATACCTTTTGAGTTACTAGGTTATACCTTGTCGAATCATACGTAAACTTCCGCCTTCTCTCGGTATGACGAGAGCTAGTAGAGAGTGGGCCATTCGGTTATGCCGTGGTAATAGCCTCAGTTTCTAATCCGGTCACCCGGTCTATGAAAATTCAATTCATTTATTACAAACTGATACGCACCGAAGTGGATTGTTGAGGCCCCATTACAGCATAGCTGAACTCTCGCCAAGATCAATATTGAAAAGATGGTACGTTTATGTGGACTTCTTAAAAAGCTTTAGTGTAGATTTGAGCATTAGTCAAGGTAGTTAATCTCTCTCGTACGGTTGAAATATATCGTATACGGCGGCTAGTATGTTAATAGCCAAGAGGGCTACCTTTAGCTGCTTAACATAAAACACCGAGGCTGTTTAGGTATTTGCCTTTAATATAGTGTTGAGATGCCTTGTTAGAAAGTACCAGGGAATATATAGTCTGGAGTTATACTCATCTGATCGACGCGTGTCAACTACATATGGAGACCATCGTCATCCCAGAATTTCATTCCATTCGTGTGTTTCAGGCTTTAGAAATTAGCAAGGGGCTACTGATGGTCGTTTTGGTGCCTTGCAACAATAATTTTCCAGACCCATACTACGTATTGAAGATAACGTGACATGGTTCACGATCCGCAAAACGGGATTTTTCCATCCCACTCTGACACGGTTTTTTTCAACCCACTTTACGTTGTGAACCCGAACCACCCCTCCGTTCGTAGGGCTCATGCACGACATTTCAGAGCTCGATTTCACCCCCGGCTCTCCTTGCGTCCGGAACCGCTCGCTTTTGATCTACGGGAGGGGTGTTCAGTACATAAGCAGCCAAGGTCACGATGCGGTCACGATGCACAAAGGCCTTGAAGCAATCTGTGCATCGTCAGCACCAGATCGTTTTACCATGCTCGACGACCCCACCGCAGAGTTCAGCCCTGCTGATTTTATCTCGATTTCGGAGCATCACAAACTTAGATCTAACACCTTATTTTGACCACACTGCATACAAGATCAGACCACCGCATGGAAACATGTTGGTGCAACATAGTTCGAAAGGATTGTTCTAGTTTTAGCATCCCAACGCTACCGGTAAGCATTGGAAACAACAAGGTTCAACCTACCCTTGAGTAAAGCTTCTGCGATGGTGTCCATGGTTATTGTAAATGCGATGGTATCTCCAGAGCAGAGAACGTAAATATCATATCTAGTTCCCTATATCCAAATGAGCAATTATCATTTTCTCGCAGTAGGGCATCGAGGCCCGAGAGGAAAGGAGAAAAGAATAAAAGAAACACCAAAATCGTCGAGACTGCACAGTTCCCTTTCGCAAAAAGGAGCTTCGTAAAAAAAGAAAAAGAAAATGCCCGTAGAAACAACCATCTCGACACCCCTCCCCGCCGGCGTGCAGCCCAGCGTCGTCGTCGCACAGCTGCACAACCACGAGATCTACATCCGAACCACCTGTCCACAACTCATAAGTTACAGCCGAATCTCACCACCACCACAATCTACTACTACTCTTACTACTACTCTCCTCCTTCCCCTCTCCTCCGACTCCTCCAAATCCTCCGACTCCGACTCCAACCCCAACGTCGCACCCGTCGACGAGCCCCACGCCTTCCAAGTCACGGACCGGCGACCCACCGGGCAGACGACGTACCGGCTGACGCTGACCAACCGGGCCGAGGGCATCGACGCCGCGGTCGACGGCAAGGCGCCGACGGGGTCCATGGCCATCCGCGCGCGGTGGCGCGTGCGCGTGCGCGGCGACGCGGGCCTGCTCGAGGAACACGTCGACATCGAGAGTAACATGATCACCAAGAAGCTGGTCAAGAGTAACATCGAACGCAGCCACCCAGCGTACCATCGGAGTTTTCTCGCCGAGGCGGCTAAGGCGTCGTGAATTGATATTTCAGTATTGCCTGCTGCTACTGTTACTACTACTACTACTACTAGGTACTACTTGGTGTACTTGGTGGTGTACTTGTGCGCCGTATGATGAGATGTACATATATACCGTGGGAGGTTTTGTTCTAGAAAGGAGGGGGGGGGGGGGGGGGGATAACTTGATATTTGGTTAGATTAGACGAGAATCGTGGGATGAAGATTGAAGATATTGGTACGGGAGTGGGAGTAAAAGAACCAAGATTTGCATTTCTTTGGATCATCTACGTAGCTTCATAGGACCATAAACCGTCATCTAATTTGTTAAACGTGCACTTCGTAACCACCATTTCGGAGAAAGAAAGTCTACCCCCATCTTTCTAACCCCCCAAAATCCATCCATCCATCCATCCCATCCCATCCATTCATCCATCTCCGATTCTTTTTTTATCCCCCACCTCCTTTCTATCAACGCCAAAAAACCTGAAGTTTGGTTTTCGAAATGCTTCCAACGCAACCGTCATTAGGATATCTAGCAGGCTAACATGGAATAGGTTGTATCCGGTATCCCCCTGATTAGAGGCGGATACGGGCAGTTGATTCTACGTGCATTGTTGACATTCGGTTGGTCACCACCACAACCCTACATGTCGCATCCGCCTCGACAAAAATGCAGTCGGACCGACGAATCGAGTGGTCCGCTGCTACGCGACAGAGACGCTATCTAGCTAGCTAGCCTAGCTACTACTTTATTTCGCCTCGTCGGCCCAGACGTCATAGCCAAACGTGTCTTTCATGTTGACGAAGCGGGTGTGACGGCCCTTAGCAACGCTATTGACAGCCTCGAAGTCGGCATCGGACAATTGCGGGACTTGGAAGTTGCTTGCGATGCGCTCGGGCGTCGAGCTCTTGGGAAGCACAACGTAGCCGCGGCGGATGCCCCACGCGAGCAGAACCTGGGCCAGCGTGTGACCGCTGCGCTCGGCGACCTCGATCAACGTCTTGTTAGTGCGCACCTTCTCGCCTGTGTTCGGTACTTGATCCTGGGAGCCTAGGGGAGAGTAGGCGGCAGGTAGAATGTCGTTTTGTTGGCAGAACTCAACCAGCTCCTCGTTGGGTAGGAAAGGGTGGATTTCAATCTGGTTGACTGCCGGCTTGACCTTGGCGATCTGCAACAGCTTCTTGAGGCCGGGGATGGTCCAATTAGACACACCGATGGCGCGCGTCTTTTTGGCTTCATACAGCTCCTCCATGGCGCGCCATGTCGGCTCTGGGTTCTCGGTGAGCTCCTTCTTGATGATGTACTTGCCGTCGGCGCCAATCTTAGGCATGTAAGTATCATCACGCTCGGCAGCAATAGGCCAGTGGATGAGGAACAGATCAACGTAGTCGAGGCCGAAGTTTTGGAGTGAGTTCTCCAACGACCACTTGACCTCATCCGGCTCGTGCAGATGCTGCCATACCTTAGTGCAGATGAAGATGTCTTCACGCTTCACGGACTTGTTCTTTGCGAGAAAGTCACGAAGAGCTTCGCCGACTTCGGCCTCATTCTTGTAGAACCAGGCGCAGTCCAAGTGTCGATAGCCGACTTCTAACGCAGCGGTAACTGCCTTGTATGTCTCGCCCTTGGCGCCTTCGTTTGCGAAGGTACCAAAGCCGATGGCGGGGATCTTCACTCCGTTGTTTAGAGTGAAAGTCTGCTGGTTGATTGGAGTCGCCATGGTGATGAAGACTTAGATTTTCGACTGAGATGTGATAGAGAGAGCTATGGAGGGGTGAAAAGGGGTTGAGGAGTAGATGTGAAACAATTGCGTCAGGAAAGAAATTAGTCGAGACGGTAAATACTGTTGGCTATCGTGCTGGCAGTCGGGAATGGAAATATTCGGGTAGAGAGGTAAGATTGTAAGGTTGTAAGCCCGTAAACGGCCGGTTTGATTCAAACTTAGTATGTTTGTGGATTGGATGTATGTATGTATGAATGTATGGATATATGGATGTATGTGTACGTTAGTGTATGAATGTCTAACCACACGATGCTGCACTATTGCATCATTCCCGGAAACTCGCTTGGCCGTTACCACCCCTGAGTCCCTGACTCAGCGGAAAAGAAAAAGTTTTTTGCGCTTGATAGAAGCCGTCGGTTTCTTTTTCAGTCTGATCGCTGATCAGCGACTCGGGATCCAGTTGTTTGCAGCGACAGTTGGCACGTCGTCAGCGAAAGCCACCACTCAGTTTTGACTTTGGTTACTTTAGATATCCATCAATGACATGTGAAGTGGATCATATGTAGTAAGTGATAATACGTTGGTACATCTACAATACTTGTGATACTTGCGATACTTGTGACAATAAGTGATAAAAAGAATGGGTTCGGGTAGCATACAGGGTTTTGCTATGTACAAATGCAGAAATGCAGAAATGCAGACGGCTCGTTTGCAATTGCCTGTTCCAAATATTAATGCTTTGACTGGCTTTATCAGCCTGGTATCGGTTGGATATGTACTAACAATGTTACTAAGTTACTATGTAATATAGGAGGGAAGTTGGAGGGAAGATCCATGGGTCCCCCTAATGCAAGTTGGGATAGGTTAGGGTAGGATAGGAATGCAAGCTCAGGGCGGTCAGGGACGTGCCTTATAAAAGAAGAACCTATGAAAGATTATGGTTTAACATTAGTGTACATTACCTGGCGTCTGTGGCGTCACCTATCAAATCGTTCGCTGACACCATTACAACTTTACAAGTATTGGAACACCTGAACACCACAGATCTGTAGGCTGTTAATGTGGGTAGCACCGAGAATGGCAAAGATGAGGCAAGGCGCTAGAAAACCCTAGAAAACCCTGCAGGTCGCCGTATCCACCTTCCGACTCAGGGGGCGGATCTGTAGCGGATACACAGCGGAGCGCAGCGGACCCGGAATGATGTCAGCGTGAGGCATGACAGCGGGTACCGTACGTGGGCCGTGTGGATCCGGGATCCAGTTCGGCTGGTTCTGCGGCTCCTTTTCGGACTGACATTTGATCTTTACTGGTCCCTGTTGACTCGGTTGGCTGCGTGTTTGCTGGACATGCATCACACTGGCAGCACACTGGCAGTATATTGGCAGCACTAGACGACGACCCTACATACCAGCCTGTAAATTGTAATTAATAAACCCTGAATATATCCCGATAACCTTGATAACAAACAAAACGGCTAAGAATAAACAGCGTTTACCCCCGTTTCCCAACGTTAAACTCGACGTTAATAGGTCTGAAAACTAAGAAAACATCGTAACTAATTAACTAGGTAGTTTACGCGACCGTTTCATCAAGCTGCAGCCTATGCAAGGGACCGCTTAGGGACAGGCTCCAGCGTGGCGGCGGATACCGTAGATTACCTAGGTACCTGTGTAGGCTGTAGCAAGACATCATCCATCCTCCATCATCTTTTTCGGCTCTTTGTTGATAACGTACCGTGCTTTGACAACGTACCTTGACAACATACCTCGATAATGTACCGGACAATGTACTCCTTGTCTGATGTATGAAACGTAGTTGCGTTGTGGAGGGTACGGGCAGAGCCGGACTTTGCACCGTCGTCGAAAAGTGCGAGCTATAGCGCGATAGTACGGTGAATGATAAGCATCATGGTTGAGCCGATGACTAGATATAACGCGACCCTCCCGTCATAGATGGCAAACTTCTCTTTGTTCCATATGTTTAAACCTTCATCTACTTCTACTTCAACCTACCTACTATTATTGGATTTTTTTTTTGAGACAGCGAGCTAGCTAAGACTACAGATTATATTCAAGATGCCTATGTTCGAAGATTACGACATTGCCCAAGCCACTAAGATGCAGGACAAGAAGGATGCTTCTACAGCCACCTCCAATGGCAACACCAACGGACACTCTCACGGCCACGGCACAGAGTCAAACTCTTTGCCCATTCCTGGAGAGGATGGTGATGGACCTATCGAGGTTCCCGCCTCGAGATCGTCCGTCTCTGAAGCAGCAAAGTACATGCACAACTTAAGCATGTCTCCCTCTATGAAGGAGAGAAGAGGCTCTCGTAACTCCTTCGGCACAGCTCTTCCCATCCCCCGATCTAAGAGACAATCACGACTATCGTCGGTTCACTATCCCGATGGAGATGAGTCTCTCGGCCGCCCGACGCGCCCGGGCATGCCACCCATCCAGGCCTCTCGTGCTATCCTAGCTTCCCAAGTTCAGAGCGTCGAAGTCGAGAAGGTGAAGAAGGCCAAGAACATGGCTTTCGCTTTCGACATCGACGGCGTCCTTGTCCACGGTGACCGACTCATTCCTGAGGGACGCCGTGCTCTGGAGATCTTGAACGGTGACAACGAACTCGGCCTTAAGATTCCCCACATCTTCTTAACCAACGGATCCGGAAAGCCCGAGAAGGCTCGTTGCGAACAGCTCTCCAAGATTCTACAAAACCCCGTCGACACGGAACAATTCATTCAATCACACACTCCCATGAGCGCTCTTTCTGAATACTACAAAACCGTCCTAGTTGTCGGCGGCGAGGGCTACAAGTGCCGTGAAGTTGCTGAGCAATACGGCTTCAAGGACATCGTTGTCCCTAACGACATTGTTGCCTGGGACCCGTCTATCGCACCTTACCGTGTGTTCACGGATGAGGAGCGAGCATCTTCTCGGCCACGAGACTTCACCAAGACTAACATCGAGGCTATCCTAGTCTTCTCTGACTCTCGAGACTACGCGACCGACATGCAAATCATCATGGATGTACTACGATCCGAGAATGGTCGTCTAGGTACTATGGCTAAGGACCCTCTCTCTCAACGCGTCCCCATCTACTTCTCGCAGGGTGACATGTTGTGCCCCACAGAGCACTGGACACCCCGTATGTCTCAAGGTGCATTCCGTATCGGTCTTGAGGCCATGTACCGGGCCCTGACCGGAATCGACCTTGAGCGTGTCGTTTACGGAAAGCCCGAGACTGCTACATACAAGTACGCCGACGAGGTTCTCACCTCGTGGATGGAGCAGCTCCACGGCGAGGAGAAGCTTCCAGAAAACATCTACATGATCGGTGACAACCCGGCCTCCGACATCATCGGCGGCAACATGTACGGATGGAACACATGCCTCGTCCGCACTGGTGTATTCCAAGGCGGCGAGAACGACGAGAACAACCCAGCCAACTTTGGTGTCTTCCCCAACGTTCTAGAGGCAGTCCAAACGGCGCTGAGGAAGGAATTGGGAGATGACTTCAAGATGCACTTCGACGAACGGATCAACCCCGTTCTGCACGGCGACGGAGCCGACACGGCTGCGATCATTTGATTTGGATGATATCATTTGGGATTTAAGTGGAAATTTTGGGAGGAGGGGCGTTTTTGGATCGGATCTTGATGACCTTTTTTTTTTCTTCTTTTTTGTGATATCTAGAGCTTTTACGACATCATCATCGTATTCAGCAGCATTGACTAACGAACTCAAGACGAACTTAGAGATATTGGAAGACTGACTCTCTCTGAAAAGATATTTAGAAATTTCTCGAAATCTTTAACCAGCTTCATGCGCACGGCTTGTGAGAGGAGATACACTATTGGTGCTTGTTTCTAACCTCCCTCCCCCCCTTCTCCTCCCCTCGTTCCCCCTCGTTCTTAGCTCCGTGCCGCCGACATTTACTGGGCCTCATCGCCATTTTCAGCATTTGCTAAGCCCACCGATCGCTTGTGCATGACTACGCCATCGCCAAAAAAGACTTTCGCCGTGCATGCCTCGAGAACCGAACCGTCTCTTCGACCTACATAACTAAAAGCTTATTAAACTTGTATTGTATTGACTGACTATCCTATGCTAAACAGAATCTTTCATTTTGCTACGTACTATTCGACATTAGATTAGAAATGGTATTTGATGAAGAGATTGGATTATAAATGGATTTGTCGACGTGGAAACTAACCTACTAACATCATAGAAACCCATTACTTGCCATAGTAATACACAAATATTTTCTACATACATACCTATCTACTGTGCTCACTGTAAAATTCGCAACCCGATACTCGAAAATACAAGAACGTGATCCGTGAAATGAAACGTGATATATGATCTATTGAAATGTCGATATGATGTAGATACGTTGGTTTTTAGAGCCATGCAGTCATGTTGCATCGATGGACTGCTGAGTGTGAGCCTCGTATAGAATATGAGGTAGGTAATGAAATGCGTAGGACTAAGCTGATGTGCACGCTTACCTATGTACCTAGGTATACATCGCTAGGTACGGAATACATACGTAGAACGTGGCATAATTAAATGTTACTGTATAAAAGACTGAATAAGATGTGATAGCAAGCATTAAGTAACGACTAAGATAAGACCTTGAGTTTTCAACCAATGAGCTTCAATTACGACCGGAAAAAGGGGTCCAAACCCATTAAAGAAGGCGTTTTAATGTAACATGGGGAACTAACCGCATACGGCATTTCATTCTCGGGCAATCTTACGAGGAGCGACGAGAACATCGCGAGTTTGGGCGCTTCTCCGCCCTCACGCCTCACGATATTCTTTCCGCCGATTGCTTTGCGGCTTGATGTCGGTTTCTTGCTAGAGCGTAGCTACCGCCGCAGAAGCGCGCGCGCGCGGTGGCCAGTCACTCATTAATTACATTCCTTAATATACGACATTCTCTTGCTTTATCCAGTCGCTCATTTCATATAGCAATGCGCCGCATATTCGCGCTTCTACTGTCCGTATGGACGACATCGCGCGTCGCCGCGCAGGACGGCAGCAGCAGTGGCGCCGTCTGGGCGACGCCTCATGACAGCTATTCCTCCTCGGTCGGAGTGCTGGGGTGCAAAGTAAACACCAATCGCGTAGCCTACTGGCCGGGCGCAGTCGACTGCGACAACATCTGCATCTCGCTGAGCTACGAGGACCGGTCTGTGAAGCTGCTGCGCGTGGACCGGTCCGAGGGCGCGCATGATGTTAGCTACGACGCCTGGAATTATCTCTACACGGGCTACTCGGCGACCGAGAAGCCCACGGCTGGCGGCGCCGTCGCTATGAATTTCGCAAATGTGGATGCTTCCGAGTGCGCGGATCTGATCCACACCGACGGCGGCAAGCTCCCTCTTAGCGCCGCGAATAGCATGAATTTCTTGGCTAGCTGCCTCGCGCGTCCCGATACCTGGGTCGCGAAGAATTATCTTCTATATAATATTCTCGACCCCACGTGCGCTTGGGGCCACGACGAGGTGTGCACGTTGGATTGGCCGGCTGCTAATCAGGCAAGCTGCCCTAGTACGCTTGGAGACCCTGCTACTTTGACGTCGGCTCCGGTCTACAATATCAGATACCCTTCAGGACAAACTGTTGTAGCCTCGTCAGGACAAGTTGTCGATCCCCAAAGTGATAGTAATGGGTGTGTTGGAATGTCGCCCAATTTTTTTGTTTTAATTCTGGTAGGAGTGGCTTCAAACTGGTTGGCTCATGCAGGTGGTGTGCACTTCTAGGAGCCATGTGAGTCGGGCGTGGGATTTGATGTCGTCATAACGCCGACTGGATGCCGCATGTAGGTTGGGGGTCATTGGCAGGTTGGCCGACAAGGGTGTGGCAGCCTTTACGATGCGGTTGGAATTTGTCCTATATTCAGCATGATTACGAAGAGATACCCTGTTGATTGTTTGACGTCTATTTACAAATATTTCTTATCAATATATTATACACCGAGTTTATATTTCAAAAACTCAGTCACAGACCACGAACATGAAAGAGTATCATAATTGAGGATACAAGAGCCAACCAGAGCCTTGCCGTATATCCTCAGCCTAAGCACTAGAGCCTGCTGCTGATATGCAGGATGGGGTGTAGATGATTGGATGGAGGTAATAATGCATGTGAAGACTAAGAATGTCGGTGTCAAAACCTGGCCATCAAAGCCTGGATAATGAAACCTGAAGCCTTGTCGTAACACGCATCCTGTAGCCTTAACTGACAAACCCGGATCAGGCTGAGCCGTATAGGATGTCCTACTATATTCGTAAGGCCAAAGGCCCCAATATGGATATCCAACAGCATGATACGGTAGGTATATGCATCCGTATCTACTCGGTTATATAAAGATTGGTATCTCTTCGTTTCCCCCCTTATCCTTAACGGAAAGTCAGTTCAATTCTTCCAGATGAGATACCAACATCTATCATATACGCATACTTTTCGTCTGTCAACATGGCTACCAAGACACGCAAGATTCCCCAAAACCATTGGGATCGTCATAAAGAGACAATCCTAAACCTTTTTCTGACTTCCGATCTCTCCGTTGACGAATTGGCCCAAACCATGGATAGGGATCATGGGTTCTTTGCCACGTATGTCAATGCCTTCTAATATCGTAGCCGAGCTAACTCTCTCCCCAGTGTTTCACAATATGAGGCTCAATTCAGAGCCTGGAATGCTCGCAAGAACCTGAAAGTCCACGAATGGGAGGGGATCTTCGAAATAATCGACCGCCTTTCATCTCAGGATATACAATCTAGAGTTGTCATTTCAGGCCACCCCGTGGCAATGAATAGAATTCACCGGGCAAGACGCCACTGCAATAGAGAAACTCGCCTTAGAAAGCGTCGCAGAGTGGAAACGGACCTGTCTAACGTATCAGATGTCCACAAGACCAGTGATGCCTTTATCGAAGTTCAAAATTCAAGCGGTGAATGGCGTCAATATACAAGTTCAACACACAATACCAGTTCTGATAGAGTAGTTGAGCCAGTCGCCCAAGAGCTGATCGTCGACCATGAGGTCAATCAAGCTAGGCCCGTATATGATAACGACCTAGACCACCAGCATCCCCAGAACTTACCAGGTGGTTCTCCATGGTCATTCTCGTTCCATACTCCTGAGTTTATATCTAACGAGGGCGAGAATCCTGCATATCCCACGGATCCTTCAATCAGCGGTCCCGAACCTCAGGTCGCGCAGGCCTTAATTCAGTATGAATTCAATGAAGACATCATATCTCCAGGTGTTGAGATGGTAACCTCTCCCTGGCGGCTAGATTCCCTAGGACAGTTTTCTCTCGGGACACTATGCATAAACGACTTGCCGTTTGAGCGGTTCGAACGGGGCTCGGCATTAGAACGCCTTATTCCAGCTTTGCACCCATCTCCATGGCAAGACTCTGCGCTATTATCCGGAATCCAGACTTTAGTGACGAAATTTGTTGTTGAAGTTGCCACTGCTATGTCAGAAACCAACGAGAAGCCCCCTACGCAAAACGTTAACAAAGTATGGTTTACCTTAGAAAGGTTAAAATCTATTCTACCCAGAACTCGACAGGGATCAGGACATAGCAGCTTGGCTCGGCCGTCGCATGAGATGTTCGATGTTGAACTACATCGGATTCTTTTATTCTCAATTTCTAATGGATTTGCTGGTCTAGATGAAATACCCCTCAAACTAGTATTCAGGTTTCTAGATCAACATAGCAACGTCAGTTCCTTATTATCGCGCTGGTTCCAAGGTATCCCAAATCATTTTGCAAAAGGCCTCGCAGAAAAGCTGTTTCAAGTGGCAATAGAAGCGGGAAACCACCAAGCAACTAGATTCTTCCTCCAAAAGGGTTTGGCAGATGTCGATAATACATTCTGCTTCGTTGATGGCCAGAAGTATACACCTCTAGAGCGTGCCTCTAAGCTCGGAGAGCTGAAAGTGATTCACGAATTACTCCGGTTTAAGCCAGATGTTAACCAGACATTCTTCAACATATATGACAAAGATGACTTCGACTGCGGGCGAGCTCTAGGATGTTTGATATATGAACCGAAATACATGATACTGGGCCCAGGTGGATGCTTTATCGAGCACAGGAACGACCGTGTATTTCTTCCTGAGTATATGGAAACCGTGGACGCTTTAATAGACGCTGGAATAAAGGTATCTCCTTTTTTGGTCCACATCTCCCTTGAGAGGTACGTCAAAATGGATCTTGCTAAGAAGCTTATATCTAAACTCATACCATCTGATTATTCAGAGGTTATTTCCAGAGGCATCCTGTCTATTATCATCCGGAAGATTCCAGCTGGGGATGCCTTAGAAACTGTTTCAAATATTATATCCAGTTACGAAGAAACTAGGTATAAGAAGTGTCTAAGTCACCAAGATGAGGTGAATTGGGCAATCATGACTGCCGCCAAGCAAGGCAACTTCCAACTTGTTCAACAGTTTTTCCAACATGCCAAGTCTTCAACCCAGATCCTAAGTGCAGCAATTAGAGGAGGTAACCAAGAACTTATCGAGTTCATCCTGGCTCAAAAGCCCGCTATCCGCCAGACACCTGCTGAACTAATTAAAAAACCGGACGATTTGAACGACCCTTGCTTTTCGGATTATACAACACCACTGGCCGAAGCAATAGACGGAGGGGATGAGCTACTTGTAAAACGTCTTGAAAATGAAGGTGCTCTTGAACACCTTGACAATGTGATCGCCAGCTATACTGATATACCTTCGCGGCTCGATACCGCGATTTGCGCTGCATCCAAAGTAGGAAATATCGCGTATATCAGAAAATTACTACGCATCACTACTAATATCAACGAAGAAGCTGCCATCAATGCGCTATCAGAGGCAGCGAAAAATAGACGAGAAGATATAATTCGACTCTTACTCGACTCGGGAGTTTATATCAAGAATGACGGCTCATTCGCATACTTTAAGTTCATGGCCGAATTATATAAGTGGAATATGCCGCTCCTATTCGATGTAATATTAACTTTCCCAAGCTTTCGATCAACTTACAGCCATGCAAAACTTGATCAAGGATCAGAATTCCTGGAGATATTGGATTTCCTTTTCCAGCACAACCTAATACCTAGCTTTGATTTAATGGATGGCCTTTGCCTAGCAGTCTCGCAGTCTCGCAACTCAATACTTCGCCATATTCCCAGGTTAGGATTAAATATAACCAATCCTAGCGCATTATTGGATGCCGCAAAAGGACAGCCAATTATGCTACGAACACTTTTGGCATATGTCCCATCCACCCAAGAAGGTATCCTTGGGTTTGGAACAAGTTGTGTTGTGGATGCAATTCGGCGCAGTGATCTAGAATCATTAGATATTCTTCTTGCCTGCAAAGCTATCGATTTCAAACAAGCACTTTTCCACGACCATACTCCCCTAGCAGTGGCTATCGAAGCCGATGCAGCAAGCTGTTGCTCCCAATTTACATTTACGGCAAGACTCCTCGACGCAGGTTGTGACCCCAACGAACTCGTAGCTAGTTATTTCATCCGGTCTGAGAGGTCATTCAACATCACACCACTTATTAGAGCAATTAAGGCAGGGAATAAGAATTTAGTACAATTTCTTTTAGATCGCGGCGCTGATGTTAACAAAGCAGCTACCCATGGGGTGAAACAGACCCCATTGCAGGCTGCAGCAAAATGTGCAGATCTTGACATGACTGAGTTATTGCTTCGGAATGGCGCAGATGTCAACGGGAAGCCCTCAACATGTGGTGGTGGTACGGCTCTACAGTTCGCAGCCATAAGCGGAAACTGCAATATTGCTGCACTTCTTATTGATCGGGGTGCCAATATGTGTGATGCTCCGTCCACCTTCGACGGACGATGGCCTCTGGAGGGCGCCGCCGAGCACGGCCGGATAGATATGATCCAGTTCCTCTGGAACGTCAGTCTTGGTGGCTTTCCTATCGAGCAATGTCGCAAGGCAATAGACCTCGCAGAGAAGAACGGGCATAGAGCGTGTAGGGACTTGGTTCGGGAATTGGCAGCTTCGAGTGGAATCATGCTGACACTTGAGAATTAAGGGTAAGGTTAGGTTGTTATTTTTTTTTCTTACTTACAACTTTTGAAACTATGAGATAAGGAGAGTTTAGAGTCATATAGGTTCTTATATTTAGTTTTCAGACTAGAAAATACTACTGTTAAAGGAGAGGCTTAACCTAAGAAGAAAGTAATGGCGAGTGATATGATGCCGGGGTATGACTACCTAGGTTTTAGATACTTATATTTATAAATCTGCAAGTTGGCAACACTAAATATGACTAAAAATCTAAATTACTTAAAGAGTAGACTAAGGAGTGTAGACTTCGACGTTAAGTTTTGATGAAGTGCTTCATGTAAGGGGTTAGGGGACATTCGGTGTTCATTATACAGATCTCAAAGTGCCTTCATTTCAACCTTACTGGTGTAAGTGTCCTCCTAGAATTCTCAATGAGCACCATTTTGCCAGAGGATAGTCTCAACCGTTCCTTGATTTTCTTCCTCGCCGTTAGCTTTCCGTGGTCTGCCAACCTTTCCCATCTCAGATCGGTGGTGCTTCTCCAGAGAATCGATACAGTCGAATGACGCACTGCATTGGCAAATATAGTGATTTTGATTCTGAAGCGGTAAGAAAAGTTCTACGGAAATAGTGTATTGTTTGAGTATGGTGCAGGCGCGTAGAAGCCCAAGTGCACCGCCCAAGTGAGGCTATGTGACTAGACGTGCACTATAGTCTATTGTAGTAGGGGGTTCAAGATACATAGGTGTTGAGACTCCTTGGGCTGGCCAACGTTACCTTTGTTTTGTATATGTATTAATGATATGATACTGAAATATAGATGTTGGCTTGAATCCGACTACTAGTGGTGAGTTGTTGAATTGAAATATGAAGTTTTCAAAGCATGGGAACACCCAAGTGTGATAAACAACTATAATTTAAATTAACTACCTCTAATGTATGTCTTCCTTCCCATATCAAAAATTAATACTGAGTTAATGCATATTATAATACATTCATTAATATAGGCTGTGGTTAACCTTAATAACTTGCATCAGAAGACGGAACAAGCTTTATATTGCCCCGCAATAAGCTGTCCCGCGCATATCCGCAACTGCGAGTAATTGCCGATCTGGTTAACCTAATGCATTAAGCACATCAACGTCATGCGCGGTTTGTCTCTCAACTTTTAAACAGTTGCGTCTCATTTTTCCCGTTTTCAACTAGCGAATATTTTGTCGGGACTAAAAATTAGCTGCTCATTTATTTGTAATACCTAGCACTTCGTGGTGGTGTATCGAATCAGAATAGTAGACATGGCAGAGTCTTCTCAACCCCTCCGGATCGGTTTCGTACCGGAGCACTTTTCCACGCCGCTCTACTTCGCCCAGAAGCATTTCGGTCTCACAGCCACACTGATTCCGTTCCCCTCCGGAACGGGCCATATGATTACAGCTATCCGGTCCGGCGAGATCGATGTCGGTATTGGCTTGACGGAAGCTTGGGTTGCGGGTCTTGGCAAGGAAGATACGCCTGGTGATGGCGGCTACCGCATCGTCGGGACTTACGTTGAAACCCCTCTCTGTAAACTACCTACCTAACCATAATACTGTATTGCATGAATCATATGAGACTTATTAATATTTACACATAGGCTGGGCAATTTCGACTGGCGCCAAACGGCCCGAGATCACTTCCGTGTCCTCATTGAAGGGGTCTAAGATCGGGATCTCACGCATCGGCTCCGGCAGCCAAGTAATGGGCTACGTATTAGCCGACCAGCAGGGCTGGTTGACGCCTGGTGCATCGCCGTACTCAGACTTCGTAGTACTGCAGAACTTCGCGAACCTCCGGAAAGCGGTTAACGACGGCACAGCCGACTTCTTCATGTGGGAGCACTTCACGTCGAAGCGGTACTACGATAGCGGGGAGATCCGACGGGTAGGTGAGATCTACACGCCGTGGAGCAGCTGGAAGATTGTGGCGTCGACGGCGCTGCTGCCGGAGCAAAACCCAGATAAGCGACTCTTAGACCTATTTAAGAAGCTAGATGAGGGCATCAACTACTTCTCTTCGCATTATGATGAGGCCGTCAAGTATATCAGCACCGAGCTTGATTATTCAGAGGCTGATGCGAGGGAGTGGTTGAGCACGGTACGGTTCGCTACCAAGACAGAAGGCGTGGACTTGAAGGTGATCCAGAGCTGTGTTAATATCTTGCGCAAAGCGGGAGTTTTGGCTGAGGGCAAGGGTTTACAGCCGGAGAGCATGCTGGCTAACGGATTAGGTGCGCAATTCCCGCAATAAGTCCCATGGCATTTTCATAGAAAAATAAGAATACAAGGTCTCTAAAAAAGGGGAGAGATTGTGTCCCCTTATTCTTATTTGTTTATTATCTACCTACCTAGGTACCTACATTTTGATCTTGCATCGTACCAAGCCTTTAGGATCGCAATGCGACATATATAGTAAGTCGTCATTGCTTTAGCCCCACATTGCAGCTCTCCACATACAATTCGATATCCAAGATATTTCCAAATCAAGCTTCACCTCAACAATTTCTAAAGCTACGGAAAGCCGTTTCTCTTCTCACACCCTACGACAGGATTGCCCTCCCCGGTGGATAACAATTGGACCTAGAAATTTACTCCTACAAATCTAGCATTCTCCGAAATCCACGTTACAATTAAACAGAGAGCGTCTAAAATGTCATCTACCATCCACGCCCGCTGGCTGCGACAAACCCGTTTCCTCTCCACCCACTCCCGACCTTCAAACCCAACCACACCAATCCACACCCTGCGCATCCGAACCACACCACATCCACGAAGCAGACGCTTCCAATCCACCAAACAACCCTCCCCTCCCAACTCAACCTCCGAGTCCCAAGCCCGCCAAACCCGCCGCTTCGACGCCATCCTCACACGCACAAGCCGCTGGCTCCCCAAGCGTCTTCGGCCATACCTCGAAAAACTGCGCTCGGCGCCCTTCTCGCACGTAGCCGCGTTCCTCGTGCTCCACGAAATCACAGCCGCAGTCCCGTTGCTCGCACTCGCATACGGCTTCCACCGCGCAGACTGGGTGCCGACGGCATGGGTGCTCGGGCCGTGGGCGGCCTGGGCAGAGGAGGGGCTGTCGCGGTATATGCGCTGGTTCCGGAAGAAAGGCTGGTTTGGGCTGGGGGACGAGGCGGATGGGGGGAAGGAGGGGGAGGAGAAGTTGGAGAGGAGGTTGAAGGCGGAGATGGAGAGGGAGAAGGAGAAGGGGAGGAGTGGGGGGAGTTGGTTTGGGTCTTGGAGGAGGCGGAAAGGTGAGGATGGTGTTGATGGTACATCCATGAGTGAAGAACATGTAGATGGAGCTGGGAAGGGCAAGGGTGCAAAGGCTTGGAGGAAGGTTAAGGATACGGTCACAGCCGAGAATACGGAAAAGGGGTATAAGATTGGCATACAAATTGCCGCGGCCTACGCAATAACAAAAGCGTTGCTAATACCAAGGATAGCAATTAGTCTATGGGCGACCCCTTGGTTAGCTAGGGGGTTTGTAACCGCGAGGCGCTCCTTGTGGAAAAAGCGTAGCTAAGAATAAAGCCACTCCCATCCGATTATGCAAATGTAATATCACGGATAGAGGCCCTTATTTGTCTATAATTCTTAGTTTATTGCAATGTGCACTTTTTGTCTGATCTGACTACATGGTCTTGTCTGTTTCGCTTGTCTAAGCTAGATCAAACTGCTATCACGTCATGCGGATCTCTACCACCATATTTTTTTTCCTACTCGTAGTTTTCTTACTCGTAGAGCCACTTAGCCTGGGCGCTCTCCCAGCTGACGACGTCACCCTCGCTGAACCACAGGGCAATCTCCTTCTTGGCGTTCTCGACGCTGTCGGAGCCGTGGCAGACGTTGCGGCCGGTCTGGAGAGCGAAGTCACCCTACAAGCTGTTAGTTTTGATTGGAATCTCGTGAAAATTCTGTTTACTTACACGGATGGTACCGGGGGCAGAGGCGAGGGGGTTGGTGGCACCGAGGAGAGCTGAAAAGTAACGGTTAGTGTTGACACGTTTAACGATATAGGGGGTTTGAGCGTACTTCGGCCAGTCTTGACGGCATCAAGACCCTCCCAGACCATGGCAGCAATCGGGCCGCTGTTCATGTCTAAGCTCGGGTTAGCTATGTTAAAAAGCGAAAAGCTGCTATAATGGCATACACTCAATTAGACCAGGGAAGAAGGGCTTGTCCTTAAGGTCGGCGTCTGTTATGATTGTGTTAGTTTACAAATGTTGTGCTTCGGTAGGGTGGCACCAGCTTACAGTGCTTCTCGAGGTGGGCCTTGCCGGGGGTAACCAGCTTGATGGCGACAAGCTTGAAGCTATTCTACCGTTAGACCGTAATCTGAGAATATAAAGGGGTTATTCTACCCACCCTCGGCTCTCGAAGCGAGAGATGATAGCGCCAACAAGGCCACGCTAGAATTAAGGGTTAGGGAGTGTTCGAGGGCTTCGTATGGGTGAATTGAAGTACCTGGACGCCATCGGGCTTGATAGCAATGAAACTATAAACATCCTATTAGATTTTATCCGTTCCATAGCATTTACTACCCTTAAAAAGGGCAAGGGGTAGGGTAACTCACGTCTGCTCGGTCGACATTTTGGGCTCTGGTACAGCTTCTTGAGTGTATAGAGGGGTAGGTACTGTTTGGTAAAGAGTGGTGGTAGTAGTAACCGTTGAAGTAGAAGGGGAAAAAGATCCCTTGAGGTTGTCTAAGTCGTACTTGATGCTTTGCCTAAATGTCCAAGCTTGACGATCTGGTTGAGTCTTCCAGGGAAAAAGGAAGAATAAAAGAAATAGGAGGACGGCGCTTCCAAAGATTGTGAAGAAAAGATGGAGGGTGGGGTGACGGCTATAGTGGGGTATTAGGCCTAAGAATCTCACATTGGGCGGTCGCTGTTGCCCGCGATTGGGTTTGCTATGGTTTTCAACCCTGTGGGTCTCATTTGGAACTGGAGCTGGAACTGGAGCTGCGACTGGGGCCTTGTGGCGTCTCGAAACATCCTGTGGCTTGTACATCTTGGATAACTGTATAACAGGGTCAGGTGCTTTTCTGCTTTTCTGCTTTTCCTCAACTATGTATTTCCAGGATAGTAGTCTCGATTAAGTATTTCAGGGGTTCTCGAGGATATTCAGGTCGATACACATGTGAGAGCAACCTCCGATATGATTGGTCAACTCTTTCTGATGGGTCTAAATAGGAAATAGGGGAGAGGGTGGAAAGTGTACAGAAGCAACCGTTACCTATGTATGATCACAACTTAGGAGCTTTGAGACTTATTAAAAGAACTGCAGTGCACTTGCGTAACTCATAGAGGGTGTGATGACAAAATACGTGAAGGATATGACCGCATCTTTTACAACAAACCACTACTCTGTGAGTATTCTAAGTAAACAAATTGAACAATTGGCCAATATTGTCCGTAGTGTGGCTAGTACCTAATAGAAGCCATTGCTATTGTGGCTTATGGGGCTGTTAGAGATCTCAGAGGTGCTTCCAATGGATGAGATAATAGTAGGAATAGTGGGGAAGATTAACCCCAATGTTTGGTTAAATTCGGGGAAGCTTGTACCTAAGCTATGTAGCATTGAGCTGTCTTTTTGAACGAACAGCTAGCATCAACTTCTTTGACCTCCCACAATTAAATCACATAAATACAATTGCTTGCGATTCCGCGAAGCAATTTCACAGCTAATCTCATGACCCTATATCCATGAGATCCTTTTATTTAGTCCTATCTTTTATTTAATACTTATTGCTGGTTCTTCCTACATTCATAACCCTTATAAGGGACGCCGTGCCAAGGGACCAAATATGCCCGGTGCCGGTACAAGTCGCCTATCCTCAAGATGGCCGGTTTTCTTGTGCCTTCTCACCGTCCTATGCTCTCTTTTTACACCAGGAGGTAAACATTTAACCATAGGCTAAACTAATATCCCTAGGTAGCTAATTGGAAATAGTGGCGGTTAAGGAAAACGATTTCAAGAAATGCCACCAGTCGGGCTTCTGCAAGAGAAATAGGGACTACGCTGATAATGCAGCTTCCCTGGGATCCTCATGGCAAGCACCGTATAAGATCTCTCCCGAGCTGGCCTCGTTCAAAGATGGCCAATTCCAAGCCACAATCCTGAAGACTATCGACGAGCAAGGAATCACTGTTCGGCTCCCTCTCACCGTATCTTTCTTGAAGTCGGGTACGGCACGTGTCTCTGTTGACGAGCAGAGGAGGCAAGAGAAGGACATCGAGCTCAGGCACAATAGCAAAGCCAGAAAAGAAAGATATAATGAAGCTGAAAAATGGGCTATCGTCGGTGGCTTGGACGTCGACACGGATGCCAAAGTTTCCCACGAGAGCAAGACCGGAATCAAGATCCAGTACGGCCCAAACTCTGCATTCGAGGCTGACATAACCTACGAGCCGTATTCGATCGATTTTAAACGGGATGGTGTTACTCAAATCAAGTTCAACGATCGAGGATTGATGAACTTGGAGCATTGGCGAGCAAAGATCGAGAAGCCAACACCCGAGAAGAAAGAAGGAGAGGAATCACAAGAAGAAAAGAAGGAAGAAACCCCTGAAGTAGCCCCGTCAGAAGACGAGAGCACTTGGTGGGACGAGGCCTTTGGTGGGAACACTGACTCCAAGCCCCGCGGCCCCGAGAGTGTTGCACTTGATATCACCTTTTTTGGTTACGAGCATGTCTATGGAATTCCTGAACACGCCGGTCCCTTGTCGTTGAAAGAGACGCGTGGCGGCGAAGGCAACTATGCAGAGCCCTACAGGCTGTACAATGCCGATGTCTTCGAGTACATCTTGGACAGCCCAATGACCTTGTATGGTGCAATCCCTTTCATGCAAGCTCAGCGAAAGGATTCCACAGTTGGCGTTTTCTGGCTCAATGCCGCCGAAACTTGGATTGACATCACCAAAGTTAAGGAATCCACGAATCCCTTGGCTCTTGGAATTGGTGCCAAAACAAGTACTCAAACTCATTGGATCTCAGAAGCCGGTTTGATGGACGTCTTCGTTTTCCTTGGACCAACTCCCCGCGACATAACTAAGAGCTATGCCGAGCTTACTGGTACTACCGCATTACCTCAGGAATTCTCCCTCGGGTATCACCAATGCCGGTGGAACTATGTCTCGGACGACGACGTCAAGGAAGTCGACCGTAGGATGGATCGGTACAACATCCCCTATGATGTCATTTGGCTGGACATCGAGTATACCGATGACAAAAAGTACTTCACTTGGGATAACGACATGTTCAAGGATCCGATTTCCATGGGTAAGCACTTGGATGCTCATGGAAGAAAACTGGTCACCATTATTGATCCGCATATCAAGAATGTGGGCGGCTATCATGTGTCTGATGAGCTCAAGTCGAAGGGCCTAGCCGTCAAGAATAAGGATGGCAATGACTTTGACGGCTGGTGTTGGCCAGGATCTTCTCACTGGATCGATGCGTTCAATCCTGCAGCCATCAAATGGTGGTCATCCCTTTTCAATTATGATGCGTTCAAGGGTACCATGGAGAATACATTTATCTGGAATGATATGAATGAACCATCCGTGTTTAATGGACCCGAAGTTACCATGCCAAAAGACAACCTTCATCATGGTGACTGGGAACATCGTGATGTTCATAACCTCAATGGAATGACTTTCCACAATGCGACATATGAGGCTCTCCTTTCCCGAAAGAAGGGCGAGCTACGACGTCCATTCGTACTTACCAGATCATTCTATGCTGGTTCTCAGCGTCTTGGAGCTATGTGGACGGGTGACAACCAGGCTAGCTGGGAACACCTTGGAGCCTCTATCCCTATGATCCTTGCTCAAGGAATCTCTGGATTCCCCTTCTCTGGCGCTGATGTCGGCGGTTTCTTCGGCAATCCGGAATTAGAGCTACAGAGTCGTTGGTACCAAGCTGGCGCCTTTTACCCTTTCTTCCGAGGACACGCTCATATTGATGCTCGGCGCCGGGAGCCATTCCTACTCGCAGAGCCGCACCGGTCTATCATTACCTCCGCCCTTCGCCTTCGTTATAGTCTACTTCCAGCTTGGTACACTGCATTTTACCACGCTAACCGTGACGGAAGCCCCATCATACGCCCTCTATATTGGACGCATCCAAGTGAGGAAGGTGGCTTCGACATTGACGACCAGTTCTTTGTTGGATCGACAGGCCTCCTGGTTAAGCCAATCGTGGAGAAGGACAAGACTTCTACGGATATTTACATCCCAGATAGTGAGGTCTACTATAACTATTTCAATTACAAGAAGCTACCTACGACCAAGGGCAAGCACTTAACCGTGGATGCACCCCTTGAGGCTATCCCTGTCTTGATACAGGGTGGACACATCCTCCCCCGCCGTGATATCCCGCGACGTTCCTCCCAGCTGATGAAGTTCGACGATTATACCCTCGTCGTAGCCGTTGGCAAGAACGGCGAAGCAGAAGGAGAATTGTACGTTGATGATGGTGACTCTTTTGATTACGAAAAGGGGCAATACATCCACCGCAAGTTCAAGCTCGATGGTTCAACGCTTGCTTCTACCGATGCGGAAGGTCGTGATGCCAAGAGCATTAAGGAAGGAGACTGGCTAAAGCGGATGCGCAACGTTGCCGTCGACAAGATCATCGTCGTCGGGGCACCTTCGTCTTGGGCTAGCAAGAAGGAAGTAATTGTTGAGTCTGAGGGCAAGAAAGTCTCAGTCCCGCTTACTTACTATAAGGCGGACGGTGATAGGGGCACATTTGCGGTTATAGGACGTATTGGTGCTAGGATCGGCGCCGATTGGACCATTACTTTTGCTTAGAGGATTAGATATGAATGTAGGTATTACCTATAGAGACGAATATGATGACCAGAAACCGTTACGGATTTTCCAAAGATACCTATGTATGGATACCTGATAAATGACGCTAAATTTTTGCAGTTAAAAATTCCTGTTGTATTCTGTTATCGCCAAATGCAGTGTCTTTCTTAACCCAAGTTTAACTAATCTAACCTGTATATTGGGTTAACCCTGCACCACAGGTCCTGCCACGTCCTATTATGTACCTAAGGTATCTTTTTATCCAACATATTGCTTAAACTTGAGCAACTCGTCTTCGAAATCCACGCTTCCAGGCGGATTTCTGAATCTATCTAAAAAGTCATTCATCTTAGGTCTCTTGCTGCCTGGAATGCTGTCGTACCCGTTGGTCCTTTAAAGGATGCACACGGACCAACGGGTACTTCCTCCATCTATCATCTAAAGTTGCAAGTCCCGGATCGGCGATGTTTTTCTGCGGTGGGTCAGGGATTTCTTGGGCTCTGCCTGCTCTGTCCATCTTCTGAATTGCAGAAGGGTCGAATTTCTTCGCGAAGTCTCGGATCTGCTGGATGGCGCCATCGAAAACGGTCGGACCGGTTCGGGCCAACGCGGCGTCGAAGTGCCCCTTGGTGAGCACCCGGGTTTCACTATACTTTTCCGACTTGTCGAGTTCGTCTTGGCAGATAAGCGCTGCTTGGGTGCAGATTGTCTTTATGTCTGATCCGGTGAAGCCGGCGGTGCGACCGGCTAGGTGTGAGAGATTGACGCTTGAGTCTACCTTCTCGTCTCGGAGGAATATGCCGAAGATTTTCTCACGAGCAGCGCGAGTTGGCAAGCCGATGAATAAACGCGCAGGTACACGGCGCATTACAGCGTCATCCAGGTCGTTCGGATGGTTCGTCGCAAGTAGCAAGAATGGCGGCATCTTAGAGCCTTTCAACCCGTCTTGCTGGTTTAGCAACTCATTGAGACGACTCCGTTCCCAGCTCCGGTCGTCCGGGCCACGCTTCCGGAACAGGGCATCTGCTTCGTCGATGAATATGATGCTGGGAGCAACCATCGAGCCGAGGTTGAAGAGAGCCTTGATCAGCTTCTCCGATTCCCCTACCCACTTGCTTTCAAGCTCTGCCGCGGAGACGTGTATCATCACCACTTTGTACTCGTGCGCCAAGACTCGCGCCAGTTGTGTCTTTCCTGTCCCTGGCGGGCCGTAGAGCAAGGCGCCGCGAATGCGAGACTTGCTTAAGAGGCCATATTGGGACTTTGGGTCTGAGCTGGCTAGGTCTACGAGTTTTTTAATGGTGCTTTTGGTATCTTCGTCGACTTCGATGTCTTTTCAGCTCTGTTCGACGGTGTCTAGATGTTTTGTTAGTCTTAGGAGTAAGGTTCTGTATATAGCAAGTAGGTAAGCTCACCGGAGTTGACAATAGAGTCCAGCAATGTGTTCTCATGCTTATATTTGCAGGAATCACCTTTGATAGTCTCAATTGCTTTTCGTGCGTCCTCGTGGAAGCTGTCCCATTGTCCTGGTGGTGTCTTCTCCTTTTCCTCCATCCACTCGTATAGCACCTTGAGTCTCGCAAATGCCCTTTCGACGTTCTTAATATCTAAGTTGGCGCCTAAGGCGCTTGCCAGTAACTCCATTTCACGATCCTTGAAGTCAGGGTCGTTGAGCCGTTTTGTGGCGAAACTCTCTTCCGAGAGTTTCCAATCAGCGTGTGGCTCCAATAATCCCGAGAAAGACCGGATTTTTCGTCCTTCTTGGATCTTCTCCTGTAGTTTCCGAGTATTAACTTTCTGCGTCGTCTTCTTGTGGTCCTGTTTAAGTAGCTCTTTCTGTAAGTCCGTTTTGATCGGCACTATTACCTGCACTACCTTGACTGGATTAGACCCGAGATCAGAGAGGAACTCGTCATCATCCGGAGGTGACGGTGGCCAATAACCATATATTGGATCGTCCTGGTTATCAATGGCAATAACAGCAATCTCCTTTCCTTGACTTCTGGCTTCTTTGACGGCATCCCTCAGATGCGTTAAAACATTGCGAGGGGGTTTGTAGATGTCTTCTGCGACTTCAGGTAATAATATGATTATAGGACGTTCTTGTTTTTCCGGAGTAGCTATCTGCGAAGAGCCCCTTTTATCCGATGTCGAGGTAAACAATTTTGCGAACGGAAATGGAAGCTTCTTTCTTGCTTCTTGTTTAGGCTCAGATTCTCCTGATTTGTCCGCTTCTGTTTCCATTGACTTGGGCTTTTCAGGATCTGATGTCGAATCATCTAGTTTCTCATCAGATTTCGGCGTTTCCGACAGCTTTTCAGGCTCTACAAAATAGAGATCTCTAAATGTTGACATTCCCTCAGGAAGAGAATGGCCCGATAGTGTGGCAAAATGAGTCGCAAGGTTCTCAAAATCGTGTAGTCCCAAGGTGATAATATCGGCTCCAATGTCTCTCGCAAAGCGCTGTACCACTAGATTTAGAAATTGCTGGCCGTGGGAGGCGTGTGGCATCCGGAGTGCCATAGCATCATGACAAAACTTTCTAGGGAGTTCCATATCCGAATGGTCTTGTTGCCCCTTCGTGTCTCGAGGAAACACAAGGTCAAACAGACTCTCATACATCACAGAATCAATAGCATAATGCTCAGGCTTTTCAGCCTCTGGAGCTTGATTGCTTGATGCATCATTGATAATCAACGGGATGTCGTATTCAGCTAGTTCTTCGAAAGTTTTAATGCAACTTTTGAACCAGGAGGGCAGTTCTGACTGGGCCACTTCATCTTCTGCAGTGGCAGGCGTCATTATGCCATTTGTCGAGTCGTCTGATGTAGCAGCGGACTCGCTATTGGCGTCTTCTATGCCCTCGGGGACTTTGTCGTTTATTTTTGGCTTGTCCTGGGCTGTAGACGCATTTTGCTCTGTAATATCTTCTCCAGTCATCGTAGCAAGCTAATAGTCCTACGACTTAGAGTACTACTGCTATCGGTTGACTGTTGTGAATTTGTTGCACAATCGAGGTGGCAACTTAGGCCGCTGTAGGGATAGAGTAAGACTTATATTAAAACGTAAATAAAAGGACTCAGAACTTGTTAAAATTATTAATATTTATGAAACTTGAATACTCTCTTATTCCCAAGCTTTCGGTAGTTTTCTCTCATTTCTATAAGGAAGCCGACCCCTATGTGAGGCATCCAGCGGGGCTGTGAAAATACAACTACCACCCTAAATTATTTCATAGTCTAGGTAGGCTAAGTTGTTAAGCGCTGTAGCCTGGTTGAATGCCTAATAGAATTCTATAAAATGCTTAGTTCGTAAGCACCATTGAAATCTAAGTCTTTAGGTCCTGCATAAGCCTCAGCCACTCACATTCTTTGTGATTGGTGTTTAGGATGATGAAGCTTTATGCATCTACAATTTCCTAGTTTCTTATTTTCCAATCAATAGAGGTAATTCTCCAATCAGCCTCATGCAGGCACTTTATAATATTGACTTAGCCCCTTCGGCTTTCTAGCTATTTCAAGAGTTGAAAATATGCCTTAGAGCCTCGTCGAGATTATTAACTTGGAGTGGGCGCTCTTGATGAGCATTCTGTGTAATGGTGGCTTTTATTCGGCATGGCAACTAAGTACGAGTATGAGATACTACTGTCTCCTCGGCACATCCGCCTATTGAGGCCCCATGGTGGTCAGAAGTCAGAAGACATATCATGTGAATTGGTCATAACATCCCTAGACGACGCCCCTTCTTTTGAAGCATTGCCGTATGTATGGGGTAATCCGCTTCCTCGTATGCCAGTTCGCTGCTCTGGGAAAGCTACAGAAATTAGGTCGAGCCTGCATAGTGTACTACGGCATACATGAGACAGAGTTATGGTGTCGATACGCGAGAATAGCCATCGAATCGGGAGATTTAGCACCTCTCGTACTTGTCGACACCTTACCTCTTGAGACCCGCCCAATATCGTGGGTTGCCGATCTATCCCGACTCTCCCAATCGACGATGAAAGATCCTGTTATGCTCTTATCGAAAAAGACGAGTTATTCGAAAACATCCGTGAGGGGCGAATATCCCGGCCAAATATTTTACAGACATGACAGGCAGCTCAACGCGTCCAGGACTACGAAGTCATCCGCTCACTTTTCCGATGATGGCACAGTGTTATGTATCGAAGGCATTTCTGTTGACAAGGTGGAGGAAATGACCAGTATGGCCAAGCCTAATTCCGAAGAAGATGTTCATTTCGGTGCTATCGAAAAGATGGGATTAAAATACGACGTAGAAAAAGATATGTGGGATGAAGCCGTTTCAATAGCATTCCGCAACACCGAGGGTCGGAGTCGGGCTGAGAAAGTCAGAGTCTGGGAAGAGCACGAAAGCCTGGCTATTAGATTTCGACGATAGCCTCTCCGCGGTTGACCTACAAAAGTACCACGCGTACAGGGAACGAACGCATCGGAATTCAGGGGTAAGTACCTTCGGAAATAACTTTTTCTTCGTCTAGACAGACAGTCGCTAACACATATTCCTTAGTGGATACAAGAGACGGCTGACACTCCCTTCAAGCCTAATCTTAAAATGATAATGGAAACACAGCAATTACGTGAGAGTCAAGATACACTGACGGCTGGATACTATTTCTGCCGCACTACCGAAGGACGACTGGGCTGGGTAGCTCCATATTCTCAACCCGGAGACAAGATCTGCATAATATTGGGTTCGAAATCGCCGCATGTTCTTCGGCATAGCGTTGATGGGACTTATAAGCTTGTCGGGCAATGCTATCTTCAGGGAATCATGAATGGCGAGTATTTGAAATACTTCCTTCACGAGAAAGAGGCTATTAAGACTGGAGGCAGCCCTGCGGGCTGCACAATATGCCCGAGTTTACATAATTGCGCATGTGCCAGATACTGCCCATTGAGTTACTTTCCTATTTGGGCCATGGAAAAAATTCGACACAACATGAGGGCACCCCTGCGGGGCACCACAATAGCCCGAGTTTACGAAGGTCGTAAGTTGATTACGTGCCGCTGCTGCCGGGGAAAGGCGCTCGGCACGCTTCGCGCGCCGAGCGCCTTTCCCCGGCAGCAGCAGCTGACAACCTCGAACATTAAGCTTTGCTAAAATTTTTTTAAAAAATGAAAGATAAAAAGATTAAAAAAAAAAAAAAAAAGGAGCATGTGAGATTCGAACCCAAGCTTTTGTAAAACTTGGATTACTTTAACCTAGGTATGTAATGCGTGGTTACGTGATTAATAACCGTGGCTAACCAGGCTATGGCAAAAAAAAAAGATACGTATTTCGAGAAAAAGATAGAAGTGGGGATCTGGAAGAACATGTGAGAGTTCCACTCATTTTTGGAGATGTACCCAATAAAAACGCTCCAGAGCTGCGCACGGACGAACTTCCTATTTCGAAAATTGGCCAGGCAAAAAGATCGTCTGACAATATCCCTCGTAAACTCGGGCATAACCCCTCGTAAACTCGGGCATTAGTTGAGATTTGTGATTGGTCTATTAAAACATACAAATTGTCGAATCTTGACGCGAGACCTCGTAATCATCTGTTTCGCGTGGGCTCTGCCCAACTGTTCAAAAGAGGTCATGAATTAATTTTCGAGTTTCAGTTAACACAGCATTATTCAGTCATCACTTCTATCCCTTTTATACCCTGGGCGTGGCTTGGCGAAGCTCAGTGTGGCTAGAAAGTCCGGGCGTCGGATTTCTACGCTCCATAATTTAAGCCCGTTTGAAACTATCGTCAATCAACTTTCACGACTCGGACCGTCGATAAGCATTCCTCCGGTAGAATAGCGTCAAGAGGCATATTGTTTTATTCCATTCTGTCTGACTAGGTACATTGGCCATTTAAGCAGGTCCGTCAATCTGCTTCTCGCTCTCATCCAAGAGCCCAAGAGCCTCGCGCCGAGTTGGAGCCGCCGGATCAAAGTATGGCTTCTCAGCTAATGAAGTCACACGGGTTCCGTGCCTAGGATACTTGCCATTGTAGTCCCACGAAGCGTTATGAATAGTTATGCGGTTGTCCCAGAGCGCGCTGGTTCCCGCTGTCCAGCGGAATCGCACTTGGATGTCAACGTTCTTCTCGAAGACATCGTAGAGGTAGTTCAAGATGACGTCACTCTCTGCACGATCCAAGCCAACGATGCGATCGGTCATAGCTCTGTTAACCCAGAGAGCTTTCCAGCCTGTGGCGGGATGGACGCGAACGAGTGGGTGCACGCGTTCAACGAACTTAGGGCCTTGCTCAGGGTGATCCCGGTCTAGGTACGCATGTGCGGACCGGTACACGGCTAACTTGCCGTCAATAATCTTGCGGAAATCCGGCGATAGCTTCTCGTAGGCCGAGTATCCGCTTGCCCAGAGCGTGTCGCCACCAACGGGCGGGACAGTGTCGTTGTGGAGATGCGTGATCCCGGCTGGCTGCAGCTCATGTACGAGATCTGTATGCCACCGCGAAGCTCCTCCCGGGTTTCTGAAGTTAGCCACCCGTTCGGTAGCTTGCAGGTCGGGCCAGATAACAGTCACGCCTAGGTTGCCAGGGACTTGCGCTACTTGGGGCTATTTCGGAAATAAGCATATACACATCACTAACAGCGTTTGTATTAGAATAACACTTACGTGAACCTCGACCTCTCCATAGTATTTCCCAAGCGCCAGCTGATCTTGAGGCGATAGATCTGTTTGGTTCCTGAAGAAGACGACGCTCCTCTCAGCTATGAGAAGGGCTAGTTCGTCTTTTTGTTGGTCTGTAAGGTCCTTCAATTGCAAACCCTCAATCTCAGTTCCGATATGAGCAGTGAGGTCCGTAACTTTAGTGGCGGCAGAGAGCAGTGCCGATTTTGACTTATCCGCACGCGCTCCGGCGTCGTTATGCTTCCATTCTTTGTTTCTAATGTTATAGACATCTTGGAGGTAGAGTGGCCTGGCCGGGCGGTAGGGATAACCGTTTGACAGGTCAATACCCGCCTTCTTTAGACGCTGGAGAGCGGGCTCAGGAAGGCCAAGCGTGTCTTTACGTGGCGCCGCAACGTCCCTGATACGCTCATCAATTGGTGCAGGTGCCATTGTCACAATATTCAGTCTTCGACAGAACTTTGGTATAGTAGTAATTACTTGACAGTGTTTGAATAAGTCTTTGGTAGACTCGTCTTACTTCTATACTATTACCCCCTCACTACCGTCTCGTACGACCTTTACGAATATATAACATTATAATCATTGAATTGGAGACTCCCAACCATTGACCTAATCTCCCAATGATCCGACGACAGGTAGTTCTCCATTTCAATAGGCAAGCTGTCCTGTCAGGATGTGAAGATTGGTAAGCCATATCTGCTTTGACACAATATCAGCAGTAATAGCCATGAAGTTGCTTGCAGCATCTACTGAGGAGTAGGCTGTTCCCCGCGATTTATCAAAGCCGTCATTGGAGTTCCTTATCAATACGTGATCTTGGAGAAGGATGATGCGAGAAATCTTGCGTCTCGAGTGCAGGTTATATGCGTAATGTGGTGCTATTCGATCCTTTCTGTGGGGTTATAACATGGCGTCATGGCAGCCATGTTTGAGGTGACCACCACCTTGTCGCCCAGGTCGCCTCAATCTCACTCGCTTTTTAGCAACAAAAGGACACAACATATTCAACCCCGCACTGTTGCAGCACATACAGTCGCATGAGCCGTGGAAGAGTGTAGTTCACCAACATGCTGCTCGGAAAGTAACTATAGATATCACATATCACCATATGACGGAAGTTCGCGATCGCGAGATACAGGTGACAGGGGGAGCGACCTCATTGATAATCATGAATCAGAGCTTTCTCTTGCTGGATCTATCTGGGTCGATAGAGAACAGGGGAATCTGCATGTGAGATGTGAGATGGCACACTAGAATCCTTGTTTCTCGAGGCGTGGGATGAACTTTTTCATCACGGAGGAAAGCGGGCTTAATTAACCCTTGTATAACCTCAGATAATCTAGATGTTTTTAAATCGGAATGCCCCGGGCGTTCTAACTTTTGGTTTTGAATCTTCACCTTTCCTAGAAAGTGTATTCGAGTAATACGAGATGGAAAGCAAGGAGATCTCCTCGACTAAGGTCATAGCCGAAGCCGGCGGCGACGTGACGGCTAAGAGCACGGATCATAGTGATGTTGACTCAACTCATACTCAGTCACTATCACCAGTCGACGAGAAACCAAAGCAGACATGGAGGTCCTATTTCTGGGACACATTTGACAAGTCCCCCGAGGAGAGGCGGTTTCTGTTCAAGCTCGACGCGGTGATTCTGACATTCGCTTCATTGGGGTATTTTATCAAGTATCTCGATCAAGTTAACGTCAACAGTGCCTTCGTATCCGGTATGAAGGAGGATTTAGGCCTTTACGGTAATCAGCTCAACTACATGGTCACATGTTGGACAGTTGGTTATGTTATTGGTGAAATTCCAAGGTTGGAACCCCTTTTCTCTATACTTCAACTTTGATTTTACTAACGGTAGTAGTAACATGCTCCTAACTAAGGTTCGGCCGTCAATATTTATCCCGGCTTGCGAGGTTGTCTGGTCAGTTTTGACGATTTTGCTTTCAAAATGTCAAACAGCAGAACAAATCTACGTCCTAAGATTCTTCATCGGGCTTGCAGAAAGCAGCTATTACCCAGGCATTCAGTATATTATTGGCAGTTGGTGGTATGTATTATCATGTCTTGACCCCCTTTTTAGATTACAGATCTCGAACGCGATGCTAACGTACCCCTAGTATGTTAAAATTCTATAAAATATCCATTCACCACTTTTCCTCCGTAGATTATAACCCGAGAACGGGCACGACGAATATCCCCACTTCCTTTACTAGGCGCTAACTTTATAGCAGATCGAAAAGATGAGCTCGCCAAGCGAAGTTGTATCTTCCACGCCAGTGGCTCCATAGGTAGCATGTTCTCTGGCTATCTGATGACGGCTGTGTATCGACTAAATGGTACAAATGGCTATCGTGGATGGCAGTGGCTTTTTATCATAAACACCACAATATCGCTACCGATTGCCATAGCGGGGTTTTTCTTCTTTCCAGACGTACCGGAAATCACTCGCGCCTGGTGGTTGACGAAGGACGAGATAGCGCTAGCTAATAAGCGCATGGAGTTTGAAGGCCGAGCCAACAGGGGAAAATACACAAAAGCCACGTTCAAGAAGATCTTCACATCATGGCACATTTATGCGCTTACCCTGCTTTACATCTTCTTTAACAACGGGACAGGCTACGGTGGCCAACCAGCTTTCTCGCTCTGGCTGAAACAGGAAGGATACAGCATCGCCGCTATAAATTCGTATCCTACTATTGCAGCAGCTGTCGCTGTGATCTTCACCTATATTTATGCCTGGACATCCGATTCTCTTTTCAAGGGTGCTCGATGGCCGCCTATGATATTCTCAGGGGTTGTCAATATCATCACCAACACGAGTCTCGCCGTGTGGAATGTTCCTACAGGTTGGAAGTGGTTTTGCTACGTCATTGGTATGATCGGGGGAGGAATCAGTGGCTTGACCTTTGCGTGGGCACATGAAATCTGCGGTGGTGATAATGAGGAGCGAGCTTTCGTAGTAGCATCTATGAACGAGATGGCTTATGTAGTTCAGGCGTGGCTGCCACTAATTATTTGGCAGCAAGTTGACGGACCTCAGTATCACAAAGGGTTTGTTACCATGGTCTTCTTTGCCGCCGGCCTTATCGTCACTTCCCTCACGATACGGACGCTACATCATCGAGAAGTAGCTAAAAAGGTCCAGCTATTGAATACAGGAGCGGCCTAGAAAACTAGTATTGTTACTATCAAATTCTAGACCATACTTCTAATATAAACCATGTCAAATATGCGAATTCCTTAACTTGTGCCGTACTGGGTTAAACATAACATGTCGGATTCCTCGAGGTTTTAGTTACGGGCCTAACTGAAAATAAGCCGAAATGAGACCATTGACTTATATTTGAGGCTGTTATCTTACTTCCCCTGTCAGGTAGTATGCTCTTCCACATGGTCCACTTGTGCTACGAGCATTTCTCCAAAAAGCACGTAATCGGTACGGCAGATGGTCTCATTTCACCTAGCCTAGAGGAATCCCACGATTTATAATCACACCAAAGCATTTTGAAATGGGCAGATTGTTATCTCAAGTAGAAAATGAGGTGATCAACAGCACTTTGTTCCACAGTTATCCGTAGATTCCGCTTCTATTCATATCTCGGTGTGGCCCCTTATGTCTTATGGCCTTTCACCCCTCTCCTAGAGACAATCACAATGGGCTCCCTAACTAATGATAGTAAGACTGAGAACGGGCCACTTCTCGGTAACATTACAGATGTGGCTGTCATCGGTGCCGGCATAAGCGGAGTGGTGTCAACGGCCCACCTCCTCCGGGCCGGGTTCAACGTCACCGCGTTCGAGCGGACCGGCGTAGTCGGCGGCGTATGGGACTACGAACCTCAAGCAGACAGAGCCCCACCATTCCCTAATGTTAGACCTCCTGTTCCGAATTGGTCAGAAGTCGAGAAAGAAGGGTTAAGCTCAGATGAAGTTGCGCTGATACATGCTCCGCCTAATCCCTGGTACGTATCAAAACATTATGCTTACAATTCTCTCTTCTACTCATACACAACACCAATTCTGAACACATACCGACATTGATCCCTAACCATCTTTGAGTCATCATGAAAATCTCATAATATAATGAGTTAAAGTTGTTAATTGAATTCTGACACATGATATTGACATTTTCACAGCTACGCCGGGTTAAAGAATAACATCCCAACCCCTGTTATGCGAAGCAGCCTACTACATTGGCCGGAAGGTAGTGAGGACTTCGTGGACCAAAAGGTGGTTAACACATATATCAACGATATTGCTCGGCTCCACGGCGTCAATGATCACGTACAATTTCACACCCGAGTGGAAAGCGTGTCTAAGCCGGAAGGCGACAGCAAATGGACCGTAAAAACGAGCACATTTTCGAGAACGGATTCTGGTCACACGTTGACGAAGAAGACCTGGAAGTTCGACGCGGTTGTAGTAGCGAGTGGACACTACCACACTCCGTTCGTCCCAGATATTCCGGGATTAGCAGCATGGAAGCAAAGATTTCCGGATCGAATTACCCACTCAAAGCAATATCGGACACCCGCTCCTTTCGCCAATCAGACAGTGCTCATAATTGGCGCCGGCGTCTCAGCCGTTGATATCGCGAACGAGACAGCTGCTTTAGGGGCTAAAATAATTCAAAGTAGGCGAGTAAGCAAGTATGATGTACTTGGACCGCGTCTCCCCGAAGGTGTCACCAGGGTCCCACTGGTCGCCAAGTTCGTCATCGACGACAATGCCGAAGACGATAAAGCCCAAGCATTAAAATCCGGCAATGCAATACCCGGTAAAGCCATACTCGAGGACGGGCAAGTTATAGAAGGAATCGACCGTGTCGTTATCGCTACGGGGTACATCACCACTTACCCCTTTCTTGGGGATCTAGAACAGCCTCTACTCCCGTGGCAAGATGCCGACGACAAGGTGCTCATAACATCCGACGGCTACATTACACATAATCTACACAAAGACATATTCTATATTCCAGATCCATCACTAGCATTCATAGGTGTCTCACACTACGTGTCGACATTTTCGCTCTTCGATTTCCAAGCCCAGGTTGCAGCCAAAGTCTTCGCAGGACATGCCAAGCTCCCACCCAAGTCGGCCATGAGGCAAGAACACAAGGAAAGGAAAGCTCGGTTCCAACCCGACGATAAGTTCCACAGTATGTTTGCCATAGAGGACACGTATATAGAAGAGGTCTTAAACTGGGTCAACGGAGACGCGGCGAAAGCTGGAAAAGAGCCACTGCCGGGTTTGGATGAGGAGTGGCACGGCGGCTACAAGCTCTTCAAGGAAAGACTTAAGAGCTCTAGAGGCCCGTAGAAAATTGGACGTATTGCTAGACATATCAAGTATTATATGGGATCGTAACATGGGACACAATCCAACTTACCTTGATGCATACCATGGATGCAATATTCGTGTATAAATTCCAGGAAATATTATGAGGATTCACCCCAAGAGATAGGTTCTAGTAAATATATACGATGGTCTTTGCGTTCCTGAAGGGGTACCTGCACCAATAGCTTTGAATCAAGCCGATGGCGTCAATGCGAACTAAAAGTGGCATTCATATGCTTATCACGCCATAATAAGATAGACTTTGAAAGATCTGCATAATGATCAAAGCCATAGTCAAGGCTTGTTTCATAGTTCCTACAGATTGTATAGAACTAACAGCGAGAGCTCTGCCCCTATTAATGCTCTCGTTACACTTCACTCCCTTATACACCCTCTACATGCTCTGCTAACTCGTAAGTAGGTAGCTATACAGTCAGTCGAAAAATATATCCGACTTCATCTCTATGTCATGCTAGAGGTAGCTTGACTCTGTGGTCTGTACGACAAATATTGTAGGTACATGACTGCACCATGAAATTTTTCTGCTTTTCTTGCCATTCGCCTCCAGGTAGCTGGAGGTGAGGTGATGAACTTAGAAATTCCGATTTAACTGGTATCCCCCCGATTACCAAGCCACAGCTCAAAAGTCTTAATGAGACTGCTGCTTTCACGAACATGTTGTCCTTGGTCTTTACAACCGGTGATACCGGCAGCGGCGGCAAGCCATAGTATGACATTGTCGACATTCGTAGATGAATACGGGCATGACGTCACCACATTCTTCGCATTCGCGAGGTCCTCTCTTAGAAAACCATCGGTCATGTTGACACTCGTGGTTGTGTCTGAGATCTTCCATGAGTTGCTGGATTCGCGTCCGTTGAAGGATGTCAAGGGCTGGAAATTGGAATATAGGCCGTTCTCGTGCATGTTGGAATACAGGCTGTTCTCGTGCATGTTGGACTACTGGTTGCGCCGCTACCTCTTCTATTTCACCTTCACTCTCATCTTCACTCTCTTCCTCAATTTCATGTATTATGTCCTGCTGACGACGCTCTTGATTCAAGGCCTGCTGCTGAGCCTGTTGCTGAGCCTGCTGCTGAGCCTGTTGCTGAGCCTGTTGCTGAGCCTGTTGCTGAGCCTGTTGCTGAGCCTGTTGCTGAGCATGCTGCTGATTGGCAACCGGGTGCTGAAAGGGTGGCCGACCATTTAGATGTAGTCGAAAAGGTATCGGATTTCCACGAGGTATCACCTCCTCCGGAGCATCCTCAACTTGGCCACGGGCATCAATCTGAGCAGCACGTGCGTACAGACGATGTTCATCCCAGTGCTCGCATTGGCAAGTCTTCCAGCGACCACCACAGACATAGCAAAATCCGAAACCGCATCGACAGCTATCAAAGGTTAAGTATGCATCGTACGAATCTAATAGTAAAAATTATCCTAAACTTACGTCATGTGATTGCATCCAGTGTTCAACTCAACCATCGCCCAGCAGTTTTGGCAACGTTGCCAGTGTTGTTCGGTAGCTAGTTGAAAGACTTGTTGAAGCTGTTCGTCATTTGGGCAATCGCCGTTATGGGTAGCACCCTTGCAAGTCATGCAGGTTCGATACCCGCACTCGCCACATGTCGCTATATCGTTTAGATAATTGGTTGCTGGAATAAATCGGGCGCAATTCTGGTTATGGCAGTATGTTCGACGAGGGGTAGAAAACTCAAGAGCCTTTTGGCGGAAGTGACGGACTACGTCGCTGTCAATAAATACCTGATTCTTAACTAATGGGATGGATTGTCTGCAGCATCGCGGAGGAAAGAGGGATTCATCGTTTGAAGCATCTCGGAAGAGACGTGTGAGGCACTCGCGACAATATTCATGGCGGCAGGGAGCGCGAGCCAGCTCTGCGAAGTGCTTTTGGTCTCCACAAGCGTCGCATGTCCTTGGTGGTCTACTAGGTTGGCGTGAAGCAGCCCATGAGGAACTCTCTGGCTGGTTTATGGTGGCTGTATCGTCGTCGTCGTCGTAATCGTCAGTGCCACTCATGGGATGATCAAAACCGGTATTGTAGATGACCGAGAGCTTCTCAAGGAATTCCTCATCGCTGCTCATAGCTTCAGGGGTAGCTCGCTGGGCCACGGCCTCATCTTGTCCATTGCTCAAAGCGAGTGACATTTCATGGTCAGCTTGAGCAATATCTTCTTCATCGTGGGCCTGGGAAAGGACAGCGCCGTCAGACTGAATTGCTCTCAACATGCTTCTAGTCATTCTTTCATCACTAAGACAGGTCTCTGCAGCTTGCAGTTCTTCCAGAAGAAGGTTAAAAGCCATCTGAGCGTCCGTCTCGGACCCCTCGACTTGTTTTCCCTTTCTGGTAGTAGTAGTAATGAATTGCTCGGCATCTTCCTGCATTAACCGAAAGGCGAGGGCGATATCCTCATCGCCCATAGCTGTGTAGACTGACATGTCCATGGCCATGATTGGTTAGAAGTTGGCGTCAGAAGTGTGTAAATATAGTTGGTGTTGCATAAAAGTGCAAGAAAAAGAGACGATTATGGATTTGGTGTGTGCGCGTCTATGTAATTTTAGGTAATTTCAAATGGAAAATAGCACTTTCCGTTCGGTCCAACTCCTTCCAAGGTTTTTCTTCCTTAGGCCCAACTACATGTACCTACATATGTGCATGCCTGAGGTAGGTACATACATTTCTAGAGGAGTTGACGGGGAGCAGTTGCCATTTGTTAGGTACATTAGGTAGGTACTCTTTTTTTGTCGCGTATCACTACTGCGAGGCGCCTGTATGGCAACACATAGTTGGCTACTACCTCTTTTCCCGCCACGTCAAACGCCTATCAGGGTAGCACGCTGCTGCTTCCATTTATTCTGGGTCGAGTTGGGCCAGGTACCTAAGGTACCTTCGTCATAGCATTTGTGATATTTGACAGGTCTCTTTGTATTTGGGGTTATGTCTGCTATGTCAATAAATTTTTCGACTCTTCTCCACCTTCGCAATATCTACGAACGCCTTCAAAAAAGTACATATAAATAGAGGATACAAGCCGACAATCGGAAGTACCTTTACTGATAGAACGGGTGGTCCATTGCTGGATTCCCTTTACCGGAGTTGACAGGGATCCATCTCCGACAATCTCTTGAAATACCTAGATACACTTCTTTCTATACCTCACATACGTTGACACCTTGCTTACATGAATTATATGCGTATTTTAAATTTATAAACTTCTGTTTTACTGAGGTATTAAATGCCAAGCAAGCCTTTACAGTCTCTATCGTGATGGTTACCATGGAGTACCTACCTAGATATAGCTTCTCCTCTAAACAATAAAAATGGGACTATGTATGTCTCATACTTTTGTGAGACGTCTTATCGTCGCGGGGTTCCGACAATCGCGAAAAGAAAGCGGGAAAAGTGAGTACCTAGGTAGCCATGACCACAAACCAGGCCGGTTCAAAAGACCATATATTAATGTAACCAAACTAGAGTGAGCCAGGTGGGACTTTGCGCCCTTCAACCTTCTTCAGTTGAGCGTAATTCAGTAAGATAGAACAACTTATTGAAGTCAAAGTAATCTTATACTAACTACCTAAGGATGAAGACGACAAGTAGGCTTCTGAGTACTATGTACATACTCAATCATTACAACTTGAGTAAAACACAGCTATTCATTTACAAAAGTCATCCTGCTTAATTGCCATTTCATTTAGCTATAACAGTAATTTCATCCCTGAAATAGGTAGTTAATGAGTAAAGCTACCTATCAGGCTTACAGCTGACAGACTTATCTGCCAATAGATCTTCAGCTGGCAAGATACGATATGTCTCGGGAGCTCCTCATTTACATAGTATAGAACATGTAATTTATATTCTCCCAATCACGTCAGGCACATTACTTTATCAGGCACATTACTTTATAAGATCTATAGATAGAATTCAATAACTACCTACCTATATAGCCAAAGAGCCTTATACTTTTATAAGATCCAATATTTTTTCGGGTAATGGGATGAGACGCATGAAATGGCATATCAAATCTTCCACGGCACCGTGATCCACTCACTCGGACCATCAGACCTCATCATACTCGAGAGCGCCTTACTCGTAGTTGGCGCCAATGGCAAGATAATCAACCTAGTAGAAGATACCCCCAAGGACAAAGTACCCTCAATACTATCATCATTAGACATCCCCTCCTCAGCCCTCAGGGACGTGCGCTACCTAACCCGCGGCCAATTTTTAATCCCAGGATTCGTCGACACGCACAACCACGCGCCACAATGGGCGCAACGCGGTCTAGGGCAAAGCATGCACATCCTCGATTGGCTAGAACAAGTCACCTTTCCCAACGAGGCGCGGTTCCGCGACCCGGCGTACGCACGCCGCGTCTACTCGAGCTGCGTCGACGGCTTCCTGAAGCAGGGGATCACCACAGCGTCGTACTATGGCTCGCTCCACGCGGAAGCCACCAAGATCCTCGCAGACATATGCCTAGAGAAAGGCCAGCGCGCCCTCATCGGTAAATGCAACATGGACCGGAACGCGCCGGAATATTACCGGGACGCGAACGCCGCGGCGTCGCTTGCGGACACAGAGGACTGCATCGCGCACGTGCGGCGTATCGATCCAGAGGGCGTGCTGCTCAAGCACGTACTAACGCCACGTTTTGCCATTTCGTGTTCGCCGGAGCTGCTTGGGGGGCTCGGCGTACTTGCGGCGGCGAACACGGATCTGCCGATCCAGACGCACTTCAACGAGGCCGAGCAGGAGATGAAGTTTACGCAAGAGCTGTTCCCGCAGTTCAAAGGCAGCGAAGCGGACCTTTACGCACACTACGGGCTACTAGGCGAGCGCTCAATCCTCGCTCACTGCTGCCATATGAGCGAGCACGAAATGAGTCGCGTCGCGGAGCTGGGGTGTGGTGTTGCGCATTGTCCCATCTCCAACATGACGGTTGGCGGGGGGTTTATGGCTGCGCCAGTTCGCGAGTTCCTACGGCGCGGCATCAAGGTCGGCCTTGGGACCGACAGCGGGGGCGGGTTCTCAAGCAGCATTCTAGATGCAATGAGGCAAGCCCTCGTAGCATCGAATGCGCGGGAAGTCATGAGCGGGGGTGAGCACAAAGGGCTTAATATAGGGGAATTGTTCTATCTGGCCACGTTAGGAGGCGCGAAGGTGTGTAGTCTCGATAGCAGAATTGGCAACTTCGAGGTTGGGAAGGAGTTCGACGCTCTATTTATCGACGCGAATGCACTGGGTGTTATGACTATACTAGATGATGAAGACTCCATTAGGACGATATTTGATAAATTTGTCATGACTGGCGACGACCGGAATATCAAGGAAGTGTACATACGTGGGCGGTCGGTCAAGTCTTAAGATAGAATAGGAATAAATGAAATTTTCGTCTAGCTAACTCCATGTATAGGTACGGATTGGGGTAAATAGGTTCTGCAGAAATACAATTTTTGTGAGTCTTATTCTTAGGCATAACGTAAGAGCAGCATCTAGAAAATAGGGGTATCTTCTGTTTTACTTTATTCATTTATGTAATGAGAGCTAAAGCCCTGTCGTACTGCTTTCATCTTCAATCCTAGCATATTATCAGATAGCCGCAATGTAGTTATTATACTTGTACATGGTATAAGGGTATATATAGGTTACCGCCCTGTCGGCGGAGGAGGGAAGTTGAAATTAATCTGCTTAGTCTCTACAGGACTTCCCGTATTACTGGTCCTCCGATTTTTTGCCGCGATACCGGAGGTCACCCTTTCCCAAGCTCCGCCTCCTGTCGGTCGGCTGGAACTGCGAGGTGGCATATCCCATGTTGGTGTACTCCGTTCCCAGGCGCGGCTTATGAGGGGGCTAGCAGTAGAGCCAGATATTGGGCTACTGAATACGGTGTTAGGGTTGGTGCCTATTTGTGGCGAGCTATCTGAGTACTCGGCAGGGTTATACTGCCTTAGAGGTAGAAGTTGTGCTGTGCTCTTGGTGCTAGTAGTGCTAGCAGGCTCATCGGTTGGGGAGAAGAATGCGGCCTTAGGCGAAGTTGAGTAGTGTACATTACTTGGGATCGCGGGGATGGCCGTAGCAATGTTGTGTGGTATGACCTTATTGTCTGACCTAGAGAAAGAGTTGAGACCCATGCTGTCGTTCAAAGTCTGTCTTAGTGACTCCGGGTAAACAGGGTTAGAGGCAAGGGCAGAGAATGGGCCTGCGTAAGGGTTCTCCTCTTCAATGGTACCGTCAGACGGATTTGGGAAGAACGCAGGCGACCGAGGAGTTAAGTGTGCTTGGCACCGAAACGAGAGTGTGGAAACAGTGCGATGGCGGTTCCTCTTCTGTGCCATCGCTGATGCTTTGACATCTCCGAGTAGAAGACGGCGGTTACGACGTCTACGGCAGCGTACGAATAAAAAGCCAGCTATAGCCAAAACAATGACAACTGCGCCAACTGCAATCCCCACTATCTGAGTTACGGATAGGGTAGATTGCTTCTCATCGTCGGATTTTTCGATAGAAGGATCAACAGAACTGATCGTAGTTTTGGTGAAGACTGTATCATTCAGACCGATTATGGTTCCAGTAGGTGGCTGCTGTTGACACCCTGCGTCAAGAGTGATGAGGACTGTACTAGTGATTAGTATTATGGTATTATATGAAGATGAAGGTGATTTACAGTTGGCTAAGTAGTCTTGGTCATCGGAAACGCTCACGCAAGCCTTGCACTCCGAGACTGCAGCATCAAGCATGCCATCCGAGCCACAATACGAATAACCATTCTTCTTAGGATCAAGATTGCCGTCTGTCAAAGCCTCTTTAAGCCCCCCACATGCGGTAGATGTCGCACATGGAGTGGATGCTACTCCTGTGGCATTAGGAAACCCGAAAATGCAATAGTCAAACGTATATCTGAGGTTATCTATATTTGTATTAGATGAGAATATTAAGTAGCTGTGATGTACTTACATAAGAACCAAAGCTGGTCACTTTCATCCCCCTGAGCAAAGTTGCTATCCTGAAGGCAACTCATGCATTTTCGGAACTTCTTGCCTGCAGGCAATGTAGAATATTCGGTATCATAACACGAAATATCCAAATTGCCAGTGCTTGATGAGTTGGGATCGGAAAAGTCGAGGCCAGTGGAGTCAACGCAAAGCGAGGCGCATGGCGAATTTGGCGTAACCTGCAGACTGGTGCTATATCGTACGAAGAGAGTAAGGATAAGAGCAAATGCAAGAGGAGCCATCTCGCCTGGAGATCAAATATTGGTAAATAGGAGGGTATCTCGTAATGAAGGAACGTCGATAAAGACCGAAGTATTATAAGAAGTACAGTAAAGGATGATATTAAATTTCGTAAAGTTAATACCGCCAGCCAGCTGGTCAAGGTCTTGGATAAGCTCACTAGAGAGCGTAGAAATAGAAAAGGTCTTAAGATGGAAAAGGAGTGTACAACATTCGATGAACTACTTGAGAGATTAGAAGCCCGGCACAGGCCGAATAATATATGAGATTCGGTCGGTTACCCTTTAGCTTAGGAGGCAGACGTTCATAGCGATGCATCGCGCGCAAACGATTTTACACTACTACCAACCTAGTGGTAGTCGGCGCCTATGTAGATGTAAATGTGCCGATAGCTTGCACGAAAAGGTAACATTGCAGCCATACCCACAATTCCTCCCTTGTACTAGCGAGAGAATACCCTGGGTGATATATCTCAAAGTAGGCGAGCGATGATTCTTACGCTGTTGAAAAGACCCGATCTTGGATAGTGTGAGATAGACCTACCTCT